AAAAATTTAAAAAAAAAAAAAAAAAAATTTTTTTTTTTTCTTTATTAAATATGACAGTACAATAAATTAAAAAGAATACACTTACCGCCATAATTAGATTTAAAATAATTGAAGAAATTTTAACTGTTGTGGCTGCGCAACCCATTTTTCCAAATTTCGTTTTATCGCTTTTATGGATTTAACTTTGGCTGGATATGTGTATGTCTTTCTGTTGGAATTTATTTAAAAATATTTTTATTGCTATTTTTTGTTTTTTTTTTTTTCTTTTAATTTTTTTTTTTTTTTTAATTTCAATGAAAATAAAAATAAACGGATTTTTGTAGACGAACCACAAAATATAAACATTCGCGTCTCACGTTCACCTATAAACTAAAGCAAACGTCGGTTATTTATTTTCAATACTAATAACGGTGACTGTGTGGCTGCGATGAGCTCAGACAAACAATATGTATATACATGTAGTCAATACAAAACATTCATACGTACATACATACATACATACATACATACATACATATTTATATACACCTACACCATACATACATTTACGGTATAACACGATTGAATAAATCTGAAACAAATTGATTAATAAAATTCTGACAAACATTACTATTACATTACACAACAATAGCAAAAATATTGACCAAAAGTCAAATCGATCACAATATTGCTTAGATCGCATATAATAGAGTGGATATTAAGAAGCCTCTCGTTCAGCATCCATCCTACAAGTCGAAATGTATTTGAGAATATATCTTATGTTTGTGGCTTGTGTGTTTACCTGTAAGTGTGAATTTGAAAATCTATGCTCACTCTCTAGGCCGTTAGATTAGATTCTCTAATGTCATCATCCATATGCGCGTTGCTGTTATTGCCATTGATAATAACAGGTTTCTATTGTTTTTGTTTTCATTATTATTACTATTTGTTTTTATTCTGTCAACCCAAACAAACTTTAACATAAATGAATGAAGCATTTGTTTACATTCGTGCATTAAAAGAATTGCACGAGTGTGTGCAAATGAAAAGTTAACCAGCAAAGCGAACGCGTCGTCGTCTACACAACGAATATGTAAACATTTCATTATTCTTATGTGCCGGCCGGCAAAACTTGTTGTATGAAACTTAAAATGCTTTAAAAATTTTTGCTATTTCACCTATTCATAGATTGTATAGCGAGTAAAGAATCTCTTCATAGCCATTATTCGAAGAGTTGTGGTATGACGGAGTTGTGGGCCGCTTTATTATACACCTGGTGACCTTCATCAACATTCGTCATTCTAAACCGATATATGTACGTTCGTCGGTCCGTCGGTCCGTCGGTCCGTCCGCACTTTGTGTATTGAAATTGCTCGTAAACATGTGCAATGCAAAAAGTATCAAGCAAAGCACACACATCTTAAGTAAAAGGCCATAAATGACGTTTAAAAGAAAAGAACTCACTCTACTAACTATCACTTGTCTAAAAAATGCAAAAATTGTGTGGAAGTTATATGTAATCACTGATCTGAAGTCTCGCACAAACGTCTACGAGGAACATCTAAAATCTTACTAATTGACGAATCGTGGATCCCGTCTTAAGTGAAGTTTGCAATGCAGATGTAATTTGCAATCTATCGAATACTCCAAGATCGATCAAACACTTGACCTAAAGTTCGATTGAATGCGTGACTGATAACTGAATTCAATACATAACATGAAACCTGGTTCAACACCTAACAACTTCTAAGTGCTACTAAATATATGATCCAAAGTCGCGATTGAATAGATTGAAGGTTTGATTAAATACCTGACCTAGAGCTCGATTAAATAAATAATTCCAAATGTATTATTTTCATTTCCATCAAATATTCGGGATGTTTGCTTGTGTTACTTGAGCTACACTGAATATTCAAAGAAAGATTCTTTTTATAAAAATATATTTTATTTATTTTCTACCACGCTTGCAATATTCTTATTAAAGGCACTAAGACTCGGTTACACGAACTAATTGGTTGGTCGATCGTAATCGATCGTGCATAACAGTGCCTACTTATCCTGTTGGCAATGATTGCGTTTGACAATCAGCCTGAATCCCTTGTCTCGGACTCCAAATGCGTACATTTCATCTTCAATGACCAATGCAGAGTGGCTGTATGAAGGTAAATTCATAGAGCGTTTCACACTCTTACTCGGAATGCGGATGACCCTAAGAGACTAATTCGAAAGATTCTCTGCAGTCGATAGGATTATAAAGATTACGCCTTCCTTGGATGACAATGGATCAATGCTCCTTTCAGTGTCCCTCCGAAGCCATACATGCCGCACGATTACAACGACAATATAACGAAGAAACATGACATTGAATATTTGCGCTAAATGATTGCGTTTGGATTGTAATTTTCAACGAATGTAGTGCACCTTCCATTAATCAGGCAGATAAGGTCGTTACAAACACGAAGCCTAGGCGGCATAGAAGCTATATGGAAGCATTGGTTAACAATGAGATCATATTCTGCGGTTAGCAGACTGTACTCATCCCAATAGAAATTTTTGACCGCAGTGTGCATAAATCCGTTAAAAAAAACTTTCGCTGGCGATAAGGCAAACGGGCCAATGCTAGTGAAAAGCGCACGTGGCATGTTCCGTTTCGATCTTAAAGAAATATTCGAAGAATGATTCAATTTAGAAACGTTCAGTTTTGTATAAATAGTTTTAGAATGTGCATGCTCACAGAAGCTGACTAATGTCTTAGAAGGTCTTTAGTCAATGTTAAGAATTCTTCCGAAATGATTAAATGGAAGAAATGTGTCAAGAAAATACATTCAGCGAAGTGAAGTAATACGCTTATGAAATCCATCTTTTGAAACTTTATTAAGGTATACTTAAGTTGCTACACGCTGCAGCGTATATAAAAGGGCTACATGAAGGAATGAGGAAAGCAGCGGATATAGTTGAGGTAACTCTGCTGTAGGCGTGTCAGTTTATTGTATCAGACCAACGATAAGTGAAACTACCCTAAGCTCCATGGAGCAGTTTTGCGTCCTTTCATATGAAATTATGATTGATTTATGACTTTGAGGAACGTGTCCTTTGACCGATTTGAGCAATTTTCAAACCCTTTTGCAGATTTGTAAGTGATATCATCATTTTTACTACAAATAGATACAGTTGGGCAGACGGAGAGATGGAGAGATGGACATGCGCTGGAACATTTCTAATGGCGAAGAATATGTATACCCTATGGGGCTTTTGATGTTTGCATCTGCGCGTTATAAAGATATTGAAAAAGAAATTAAATTTTAATGCACTATAATATTAAGTACACGTGGTCAACTTCTCCCATTTTTACGCAGAGGCTACATCGTCGTCCATAGAATATACGTTCAAATTTTTGTAAGTTTATCTTTATTCGTTTTGGAACACAAAGGTATTCCCCGTGTACCTGGTACCGTAGGCGTCTCCTTCGGCCGATTTGACCTATTTTTAATACTACCACAGGCGTAAGAATTTCCAATTTCACGGCCAGGAGAATGTTTACAACAGACATTGCACAGACGGACTGACGGACATGGCCGAATCGATTCAGCGTTTGACGCTGATCCAGAATATATATATAATTTGTGGAATTTCTGAAGCTTCCTTCTGACCGTTGCCAAAGTTGTGACAAAATGAATATTCCCCACGGTGAAGGGTATAAAGATTGAACACTTTCCACAAGTTATGCAAATATACCTAAACCTCAAATTTGGCTTACAATTAAGGAATTTTTTATCATTGGTCAATATTGAACTAATTTTTCACTTACTCGCTGAACATTTTTTATGATATATTATTAAATAAGCTAGTGCCGATCCGAGAGAAACGCTTGAAATCACAAATTAAAGTGCTTGCGGGGTAATTGCCAGAACACCGATTTCAACTGTTGCCTATTTTTCGGTAGTGTAGTTGACTGTAGGATTCAATCCTCACTAAAACAAAGTAACATTTTGTGGTGATGGCTACTGAGAGAATATTCTCCTTCCATCTGTGGTATAATATCGTTTCGCTTTATTTGGAGTAAAGAAAATTTTCCTTTCAAGGAATTTTCTCTCAAGCAAATTAAGTCGACAAAAATGATCCATCATTTGAAATGTGCTGATTCGTCCCGACATGTTTTGTTTCAAATTTTTAAAAAAAAAGTTTTATTCTGCTACCCGTCGAAATTGATCACAAATACAGCTGGAAGGAAACATTCACTTTTTCATGCAATAAATTCGAAGATTTTCCCCTTCTGCAGGTGAACTTCACAATAAATGTAGATTTTACCAACAATCTAAAACTACCGGGAATTTTAAATTCTTTCTTTTACAATAGATTTCATTGAAAGTTGTAGGAAGGCATTGCAGATCAATTTTTTTTAATTTACTTGACCCTGGAAACGTTGTCAAAGCAAGCAGTAGTAGTAGAAAGTGATTATATGTCATTTGAGCGGATAATGGCAACACTTAAGAGAACTTAGGATAAACGACGGCAGCCGGTACGCTACCTATAACTTGCATGAGTAAGCGAAAGCCTCCAAAAAATGTCCAAAAGCTTGGATGTTCTTTAATATCGATGTAATGTGGTCACAATACAAACTATCCAAAACAAGTACTCTACAGAGATCAAAGAGATTTGCCCACTTATTAGGTCCTTTAAAACACCTACAGGGCTTCCTCGTCGTTCTGCACAGCGCACAACACACTACCCGCAACTCATCGTTTCTTCATCATACTGCCAGCCTTTAAAACAACCTATCTGCATGGATCGCTCCCAGCGTACCCGATGTATCAATTTTTAAGATGAATATTGTTCACTCCTTTCCTCCTAAAATCTCTCCTGACCACCTCCATGCCCGCACTTATAGGGGACATCCTCTCAGCAACTGATCGTAAAAAATAAATGAATTATCGTCATTTTGCGTGTGACTATGTCGACTCTATTAAACGATGTGTCTCCATCCGCGTGCCTCATGTCAATCAATATGTACATACAACTTACAGATCGCAATTTTCAAGATATTCTCACACTGGCATATTTCAGACTATGAATTGGATTGAATCGATCGAATAAATCTTTTTATGAAACCATTTTTTCCCTTTTTAATGTCTCTTTACAGCAGAAAACCAGTGAGTTTACCTTTACCTGCAGTATAGTTGGGATGCTAAGAACTATTTTTCGGACGATACTTCACGTTAAAGTTTTCGCGAAAGGTAGACCATATGGTAATCGCTGTAGGGTGTGTCATAATTTGCTCGGCAGTTGGTTTTCAATTACATCTTAATTTCATTGCCAAAAAGTGAATTTTTTATATGTTGTTACTACATGCGATCAACAGACCTCAAGAACCAAACGACTATGAAAATTTGTTTTCATTGTGTATTTATAAACATTTTACAAAGAGAAATTCATTTATTTGCATATTAATATTAATATCAAAGTTCTCCATTTGAACGGTGAACGGTTAAAGTTAAGTAAAAAACTTATATGTAAAGGGTTAAATTTAAAAAGATCAAAAAATTATATACCAAAAAGTGCACTAATTTTATATAAATATGTGTATGCGTAGTTTGTACATAAGTAATGAACAAGTAAAAGTAAAAAAATGTAAAGGTACACGTGACTTGGGAGGTAGAGCAGTGCGCACTGCGATTGCCACTGATTATGTTCAATAGCCAAACCTGCGTTTTTGATTTGTATAATGAATGGCTAAGGTTGTTGCTAACAATAGAATCACCAACTGCTCGAAAGAGAAAAATATTACTTTGACTTTCTTTACTTGCAATCAATCGAATATGAAAAAATATTGAGAGAAAAAGATTAACTTACACTAACTCCCAATAAGCACCATTCGCATATTTGCGTTGTGAGAACCTCGTCAGCGAATGCCGCTTCGACCTTGGTTATGCAACCAGTTATGTAAACATTCAAAGGATTTATGCAATTACTGTCTTTGCAGCAACTTGATGGCGGACTACGTCCAATGTTTACATAATCTTCTGCAGAATCACGACCGCAGCAAGCGTACTACACAGAAAAACATGTAAGCATTTATGTACATTGGGCGATCAAAACTCAAAAAAAAAAAAAAAAAAAAAAAAATTTAATGTTTTTTTTTTTTGTTTTATGAGCACTTACCACTATTTGCATATTATCCATGGAACCGGGTTGCGTTATTTCTTTCTGCCAAAAGTCATCAACCTCTTGAAGAGCGTATTTCTTAAAGACGTCACGTGTATTGAAACAAATCATGACAACTACAAGAACTATCATTACTAACATGGTAATCGCATGCTATTTACGAAAACGAAATAAATAAATAAAATCTTCTCCCCATTATCTTATACTATACATATATATATATATATCAAGTTTTCCTACCGTCCATAAGGAGCGAGCAGATTCACGTGCTGCTCCCATGCAGCCGAAAAATGCAATTAATAGTATAACGCCGCCCAACGATATGACACCAATAGCATAGTTGCGGGGCATCGCATCCCATCCGAAACCGCCAAGAATTATTAATAGAATTCCAATGATCTGCATTTGCAAAGAAAAAGAACAACATGAAAGTCCACTTATTCTAGATTCGTACACTGCAATGCATTGAATCAGAAATAATGAAAATAACATTTCGCGAAATTTCCAAGATCCAACAGAATATAAAGTCTTTGGTGAACACATTTACTTTAGTCTTTGAGCGTTAGCTTCCTCTGCGAATGAATAGGTTATGACACAAGTGGAGAATGTGTTTCGTATATGGCGTTCGTAAAAGCTAATCTTTGCGCTAATTAATATTTAACTATGTAGATTACAACCATTTGAAAATTAATAGAATAAAAAATACTTCTATTAATATCAATTTTATTGCATTTTTATTGTATACAAAAAAAAAAAAAACATTACGGTCTCCTTGAGTAATCATTACTTGATCAATTAGTCCTTCAATTAACTACATGGAAAAGTAATGCAATCTCTTCTTTTCACTTCCATCATGTTGGGTGTGTGAGTGCGATTTTGGACTTTTTCGAAGAGAGGGTGTAAGTATTACTCTGGGCAGTTGGTTAAAACGTTGATTTCTTCTTTAAGTTGTAACTGTATGAGTTATCAATCTGAAGCATACACAACATGGCTCTCTGGAGTAAAAAAACGTGATTTTCGGGAAAACTAGGAGCAAGAACTAATGGAATTGGGATGGAAATGGGGCAATATGTCAAAAGTCATGACAGTGTGAGTTTCTTTCCAAACCAAGAAATTTTTTTTTACCACAAGCGAATCCATCCATAGTCGCATATCAAATATATTTTCGAAAGCAAGAAGATTCATTTCTGAAACATCCGCCTGAGTGGTCGAGTAAGCAAAAGATCTCGACGTACAACAACTCTATGGTCATGGGCTCCAATCTCAAGTGCGGTAAAGCTTTGATTAGAACTGATAACCTTTTGTACTAGCGCTTTAAGTGTTTACTCTTCATTTCCCTAATAATAATAATAATAATAAAAGTAACTTTTGGAACAAAATCTATTCTATTCAGCTTGGAAAGAAATTTTTCATATCCAATAGCAACGAGAAAACCTTTGCGATAATTTTATCGTGTATGCATCAATCATTTATGGATGTTCTTATACAGCTGCGACCAAAGAGTAACAACACTTTCTCACCTAAGTCAAGTGAGGCTAGCCTAACGAGCAATTATTATCTCTTAGATGGGCGCCAAACTAACAGAATCAAAATTTCAGGCGAACGCAGTCAGTAGTTAATGAGACACGCTTCCTTTATATTCTTCTGAAGAATAGGACTTTTTGATTCAAGACAAGTAATGTATATACTAAGTAGTTATGTATTATATATATATAGGTATGTATGCCATTTCACGTTTCCATTGCTTCTCTTAATTATCTGACATTTTCAAGAAATCTTCAATCCATCATTAGATCAGTTAACTAGATACCAAACATGAGAAGCAAGTTTAAGTAAAGAGCAACTAAAAGCAGACCGATCGAATACTCGACGTGAATACGTAGTAGTGTTCGAGAATTTTGTTAATTTTAAGCGAGTCAACTGATCAATCGGAATCCTCCCAGATGATCTTACACGTCAAGTGTGTTCTCGATATCTGCTAGAGGTTGTTGTGGAACACGATAAAATAAATGTATCCTTAAAGCTTTAAGTTAATATTAACTAGAAGGTGTAAACCGAAACTTCAGCTCAGCGTTGATGGATCAAACTCATAATAAAGTGACCGTTATCTAAGAGTTTGTGGGCTTTTAACTTTTGCTCTCACTCTTTGTTTGGTGAGTTTCCTAAGAAGAGATAAGAGATGAAGGGTGAAATCAAGCCGAATTGCATCGTGGAGCTATCTGCACATAAACGCAGCACAGCCTACATTACGCCGATGAGTAATAGAATTTTAGGGCATCAACCTTCCGGCGCGATCTGAGAGTTTCCGTCCACACTTGCTAACTATACTCTTATCTTGCACGAATAGAGGCGGTGTAGATATCGACGATACTGAAGTATGTGTTGCACTGCTCGGAAAAACCTAAACCTCGTCTTTCGAGTACGTATTCCGCCGAAATTGCGTACTTTTCTGTCCTCATGCTTAAAATGTCAAGAGCTGCTGATTGCTCTACCTTAATATCGCCAAAGGAAAAAATGGTTTAATCTTTCTTCTTATGCATTATACATTGCGTTTTGTTAGCATTGAAGTTTGTACTATTTCTTCAATGCTATTCGGATGCTCCGTTGATGGCATCAATGAAGTGTGTCGGTTATTATGCAGCATTTATTTTGCAACTCGATGCTGCAAATGAATTAATAGGCTTTCCTGCCACGCGCACATAGTCGTTAACACGTTGACACTCAAATGGATGATGGACGAGAGAAACACACGGAAAATCTCCCTGTAGATATAATATTACGAACATAGGATGGCCATTGTCGTCATGTGAACATGAACATTGGACGGCTATAGACGGCATTTACGTCACCCTATTAGCAAGTATCAAGAAGAGAGAGAGACAATCAACACAATCCTGTGGTATTCCTGCGTTTTGTGAGCAAACTGATGTTTACGTAAATTCTTAACAACTGAAATAGTTGAAGTTGATTGTATCGTGTTTCATTGCATCAATAATCAATAGTTTTTTCTAGTAGTAGTAGATTATCAGGCGTATTTTAAGCAAGATCACAAGGACATCACAGGACACAAGGCACTCTTTCTTGCGTGGTTTTCCAGGACGTGACAACCCCGTCTTATAACAAAATTGATGTCGGAGCGTTTTCTTGCGATCGTTCAGAATACCAAGATTGACACAAAATGTAAATGACAATAAAATTCATTCCTTGTATGACTGTTGATCGTTGACACCGGAATGCCAGAACGTACTGCTATATCTGCAGGACTTTCTTTGTTTTCTTTGAACTTGTTCTGAATATTTTCCGTCCATCAACCAAGGGCTGTTAGATGAATTCGTATTTTGGTTTTTAATCACGAAAACATCTCAGGGACTTCATAAACTCTATATACAAGTCTCTTAGGACGCAAACATAACGTGTTCTCTCTCATTACGTATATGTATCTTGCATTAACCAAAATTCGCGCAAAAAGAATTCGAGGAGTTTGTCACATCTCCTATAAACACATCCAAGTTGTTGCACCCTACACCACTTGTGATAGAAGAATATATTATATTTGTGCGGATGTGTGCAACATCTTTTTATGATACCGATCGATTCAGAAATTCTATCTCAATCGACCCAAGCCTGTATGTCCATGCGCTACCATTTTTGGGATACCTTGATGCACTGACATGTCTGGATTAAGGACAAACGCTACTCACATCGGACCACTTTTTCGACCTTAATGCCTTATTTTGTTGTTATTGTTAAAAGTGTTTACATTTCTAAACATATTAAGCTAATTGATGGGCAGTGGCCCGCTATAATTTTTCTATTTTTGAGTAAATTTAGCAAACAGAAGATACCTCTGTGTTGGTTACGAAAGAAAAATATTTACTAATGCAAGCAGCGTTACTTACTAAATTTATAAAACTCATTCAATTCATTAAAGGCAAAATTTGTTTACATATACTTGTGAATATTAATTTTTTAAAGGCGTATCCTTATACCAATTGCATTAACATTTTTTTTTACGCTTGGGAAAATACCTAATAATGTCGCACTAACAACAATGTCAAGCTTCGAATATTCAGTATACGCAATAGAGTAAGCAGACAGATATAGGCAGACATTATTTTGATCGATTTAAAATTACAAAGTAATTATAGATACAGAGATCATTAGATTCGCATCATCTTTTACTATGCATATTACAACAATTATAGAAATTATGAATTTCCTGAGTTGTTGCGAGCAAGAAAATACTTTTTATTATGTAATACTTCATAAACACATATATATATAGTATATATATGTATAGTGCACATATATATAGTATATTTATATGTATATGCAATAAGTTAAGATTTTATTTATGATAACTGTTTACATATATATATATATATATATATATGCAGTAAATATGAGCTCATCTACGGAAGCCAACTAAATGCTATTGCATGTTCTTCGAAGCGATGAGAGATGGAATCATTCTTAATGACAATTAAATATTTACGTAGTTTTCTTTAGTTAAGTATCCGTTACAGACATAAATATGTGCATATGCAGACGTTCGAAGGTAAGTTTGATATGCGAACACGCAATTGCTTTTTAAACACATCAATTTAATGAATTATTCGATGCAACACTAAAACAAATGTCTACACAATATTTTGAAAACATAGAAGGTGTAGTTGTCGCAAGCCTCGTAAGTGTCATGTTTATTTTAATCAAGAGAATAAGTCTGCGATGATAGTTAATGCAAACATTAGATGATATCATATGCTAAATAAAAGTATTACAATAATGGAGGCATCCTTATGAGTGACACACAACCAGCATACATTGCTTGTAATGAATCGCAAATTTATCTCTTGAATAGTGTCAACGAATTCCGAGTTTTTTTTTTTTTCTTTTCTTTTCTTTTTTTGGATTTTGAACTAAAATTCTTAAAATATGTCTTTAATGTGATGAGGGAAATAAATCAAAGTACACAGGCACATCAGTTTTATATATATATATATATATATATATATATATACCTTAGATAGATCTCATTGAAATGTGAAGCTGTGTGAGACATACACACATCTGCCTATAGATAACATTGTTTTGTAAACAATTCGTTAATATTTACTTACCGCCCATAGTGTGTTGAAGACATATAATAGGTATTTAATCGTTATTGTAGCGCATCCCATTTTATTATTATAAACTTTAATGTTGTTGTTGGTTCTTTTTTTTTTTTTTTTTTTTTTTTTTTATTTTATTTTTTTTTTTTTTATATTACCGCTCTATACAGGCACGCAGAAATCTTTGATTGATAAATCGTGGCCAGCCGTTCGTTCACAAAGTTAATGCTTTTGTGTGGCAACAGCAACAGCAGCACCACATGTGCACACATAAATGATAATAAACTAAGAAAGAAAACTAGGAATTAAACACAATACTGCACGTACATAGGCGCACACAATTATCTATACATGTACACATGCATATATAAATTGCTCAGAATAGAATTAGAAAACTTCCAACAAGAGCTACGGTCACGAATAAACTAAACGGTGTTGTAGTTTTGTTATTTGCATTTACTGAGAAAATAAATTGGAGGAAGAAAAAAAAAAATGAATAGAGACAGAAAAGGAAAAAAAAAAGAAAAGATTTACACGATTACTCATACTACCAGCCGGACTCTCATCATCATACGTAAAATATTCATGGCGTGTGACTGAAACTGTGTGCGAATAGCAAAAAAAAAAAAAAAAGAAGCAAATGTGCAGAATATTACTTGTAATATATTGCGATTTGTTCTGCGTATGCATGCCCGTACACACATACATACATACAAACACACATGCATACACGCTACATATACCCATTTGTTTGCTTATTCGTTTAGTTTAGTTTAAAGCCTGACACACAAAGCCGCTTAAGCGCAATTCTAAAAGAGAGATAGAAAAACTTGAACATTAAACACCGCCATGTCAAACCAATCGCCCGGACGGAAATTCAATTATTTAAACGTATCTATTGCTTTAAAAGCGATGTACGATGTAGGGTGGGTGGAAGCAACAGATAAATCATACTTTGTGCAGGAAAAATCAACGTAAAGCAACAAGTTTCGAGTCACTTCGAACAGGCCGTTAAGTATGGCAAATATAGCGAATGATTGAAACGAACAAAGTCATAAGTTTCCGACCAAAGGGAAGCGAAAGAAATAAATTGAGTGATAATAAAAGCAATTTCTCGCAAAAAATCAAGCCGAAGCAGCGAAAAGTTACGTTTAACCGCAGGAAATGAACTTAACACTAACAAGAGATGTGGCTGTCTCCCAGCTAGACCGCGCTGCAGTATTAACTGGGTTAAGCCTTGCTTTTGTTGGTAAGAAATGTGTCCTATACCAAAAATAGGCGTGTCATTTGCTCGGGAAAATGCCGGAATTTTTATCCTATGCAGTAATCCTATGCAGTATCCTATGCAATAAGCTAAAGTGACGTGTTACCGTCTATTGAACACTAAGTCAAAGATCGACACAGAGAGCTGCAAGGCAAGTTGTTAACTGTTCGTTATAAGTAAGGCAAAAAATGCGTTCACTAACCACATATTATGTTCGTCACCTAGATCGGCCAGAAAAAGCGAGGCAGAAAACTGGCTGCGCTTTAATTAGATCGCAATATAAAGCAAGAAGATGAAGGCGACCAGCAACAGGCTGCTAAATGTTGAACTAGGAGGCTATAGTAAATGAAAGATCGACGTAGAAAATTCCAGAGACACAACAAGCAATTAATTTCCACTTCATTTCCTTTTTGACTGCCAGAACTGCATTCAATTCGGACAACAGAACAGGGACCTTAAAATTGATCTACGCTAGACCGTCTTGCCTATGAGTGACTAATACTAATAACAAACGTACTACTAGATCGACAGTTTAGATATGAGACAGTAAATATATAAAAAGTTTCAAGATAATCTACCATTACCTATTAAACGTAGATTGACGAAACTAAACTGAATGAAGCATTGGGGTAGAAAATCAGAAACCATACAGCAAACGTTTCAATCTTAGTTCAGAATTGCATTTGGCCATAAGGATTCAATTTTCCTCCAACCAGAGATGTGTCATTCGCCCAGTCAGACTGCAAGTATTGTCTATGCAATCTATGTGGTTGTTGTTATGTTTAATAAAAACGACGATGTAAAGCAATAAATTAGAGTCGAGATGATTGAAATAGAAGAAGAACGGAGTAGAAGTTGGAATGATAGCGAGCAGCTTATGCTTGGTTACTAGTTGTCCTTCGCACTAATAAGTGGAGTAATTCATCCGGCCGCAACTTCGATCATTAATTATCCACGAACAATAGGATATGCCTTAGCCGAAATGCATTCAGACCGGAGCAGCTAATGCACGATAACCTAGAGAAGACTTTTAAAAGTTGCAATCGATGCTGAAAATAAATTAAAAACAAATTTAACAAATTGCTTAACAAAAAAGGAAAAAAGGGAAAATCAAAAAAAATTCATATATTTATGAAAGATAATGTCAGAGCTGAAATTGAAGAAGTTTTAGTACTGGATATTGGAAGGAAAAAAAGATGAAAGAGCGATTGTCGCTTGTTTAGACGTTAGGAAGAGTGACTTAAAGACGTGGAAAGCTTAACTCTTAAAATTCTAAGCTACAGGCATAAATACTTAAGTAGAGCTTTGCAAAGTTCAAGAACGTGCAAAATTACGGTTTCAATCGATAATTATCAAATCATTTTATAGCGTAATAATAAATATTATGAAATAAAAAAATGCTAAAATGTGAAAGAAACTTGAAAATAATTTTGTAATTAAAGCATTAAATCTCATTAGTGTAAAAAGCTGCTAACACAAAAATATTGATCGATGTCGATTTGTGTAAAGTCAGCGAGAAAATCGATTTGATAGGCATTCGTCTTAAAATTATCAATGGCATTTGAACGGCATTCAATTAAAACAGTTTTCCCAATCTTCCCAGAAGACGAATTGTTAAAACTTGAAAGAATTGTGATAGTTATTACGTGCAGGGAATGGACCTGTGCGTCTATAGGCAATGCCCAGAAGGACTTGGGATAGACACATTTTTCTGGAAATGATTCTGAGTGTTTTCGGACTGTGGGTCCCTCTTCGATGGAATGCAGCAAACTAACGCGCTTTGCCTCAAAGACGAACGCTGTTGAAAACGGTTCGGATCGGGCTGATTTTTCGGCCACTTCCCATGTAATGTTTTATGTTGAAAACTTTTCATATGTATAACTGTATGGTGGTGTTAGGGGCCTGACCCACTATAGTGCTTTGAATTTGTTTTTAAATTTTTTCTTTATAAATCAAAATTATTTAATAATAGATCTCGTGAGAGTCTATAAGAATCAACGAGACGAGATGCACCAACATAGAGCAAAAGGTCAGGAATTTATAAAAGTAATGCGTAACACTTACGGAGTGTTTCGTATTAACAGTTTGATTTAACTAAATAGATTCGAAAGCTACGATACGATAATCAATGGACGCTTTAGTTTTAATATTTTTTTAGGTTCAGAGAAGAAAATGTCATTTTGATCAGAAGTGATCAAAGCTTTAAATATAAAGCCAACGTTAGGGGCCATCAGCTTGACAATCCTGATATTAAAATCATCCATAAGCACAAGGCATGCGTATGTACATAATTTAGTACGCATGTGTGATTGTATGTAAGTATAGAGATATCCCATATGAACATCATTATTAGCAACTAAAAGCTATTTGCAGTTCTTTAAAAGCAAAGCATAACATTTTTATTTCCATTTCTATTTGCAGTTAAACTTGCAAATCGTGTTCAGTTTGTCGGGAATAATTGTAATTTACTAACGTGTAACGTACATGAGAACCAAAAATTTCACTTTCAGTCTTTCTTCTTTCGATACCTCTTGCACAACAATTAGTTTTACTATCAACACATGAACTTAAGTGTAACTTTAAATAATTATTGCATGGTTTCGTGTTTGGCTCGTATGGTTCTCTAACTTTCTCCAATTGTAGGGTATTGATGACTTGACTTAAACTCTAACGCTAACAGTCTTCTGTGTATTCACTTGTTTGCTTTAATTAGCTTTATTTATGGGTGTTTTGATTTACTCCATTCATTACAAGATAAAATGACAAATTGTATATATATCTGTGTATTTCCTGTACTCACCGAATCTCTAACCGTCACTAGATAAAATAAGCTTGCATTTCTGTGCTTATGCCAATTTGCCAACAGTCGAACCTTTTTTAAGTAATTGTAGGTAGAAGGAAAACTTTCCGACGATTTTTAAGCCGAAAAGAAAACAGTAGCGCTTTGTGGATACAACTTGCACTCTAGGGAAATTAAACCTTTTAAAGAGTGTCCTTCCCAAGATTTTTCGTTGCGATCCCGTAAAGTATATATGTCTGCCATTGGCGCAAGATGGCGATTCCACTTAGCTATGTCTTTTGGTCCATCGTCTATCGTACATAACCGCAGTTGATTGCTACTTATGAAGTTCGAAATCGTGATCATTTACGCTGACACAAATTGAAAGAGAAAGCTGCACCTCAGTATCTTGCTCATTAATCAAAATCCATAAATCAATTCTGAAAATGGACGTGACACAAATGTACCGAAAATTGATTCAAGTCAAGGCAAATATATTATATGTTAATTGCAACTAAATCGGTCAATGCTACATGTGTGCTTAACATGTCCAATGCGCACAATATGTTGATTTGTTGAATAATATTACGCATCGTTACTCTAAATTGGCTACCTGCAAGCAGAGCCATAGCAGTCACTCAAATAACGTGATTTTCATTTGCCATATTATACATATTATATACAGACATAGACGTAGTCAGAAGGTCAGTACAAAGAATCAAACATTTATGGCTAATAAAAACGTTACATTTTTTTGCGCTGTATTATGTTACTAAAAGAAAAGCGATTCTATCGCTAGTACGATAACGGCGCCTAAACAACATTTTTTTTTACTTAAGCTAGATTATAGATTGTAAGCAATTCTAATAACGGGATCACATCTTTTTTGCTTCGATGCTTCTAAAAATACAATGATGAAAACCTTTGTAGCCGGGAAAGGCCTGCCACTACCTACACGGGCACCATTCGCGTAACACAAACGGTCATACTTTGTCGCGGTACTATATTAAAAGTTATATCTTGGTTGTTTCCAATGTAAAAACATCTTTTTCAGAAGATCTCTGATATAGCGGCGGGGCCAAAACATGAACTGATGTGTCACCAAGGTTAACCCTTTACTCAAATATCTTCTATTTGTCATATTGCTTTCAAAATAACACTTTGTTGTCATCCATAGGCTTTCCATTCATCAGAACTCTCATATATACAGAGATGCGAAAAATAGACCTATCCGGTCCAAATTCCGTATAACTAATTATTATATCACATTACTACTATAGATCAATTTTTATCATAAAATGTTGAAAATTTAACCTTTCTGCCTTATAAAAACCTACCTTTCGTAGAAGGCCTTACATGGGAGAGGATTGAAGAAATTGATTCATGTGGCCCACTTTTTGCAGCCTTCGATAGGAATCACCCACAAAAATATATGGATCTACAGCAAGCAAACAAAATGCAAAATCCGTTCAGAAAATAATTATGAGTCGATCGGTGCACTGAAAGGTGCATATATCCTGTATTACAAGTACACATATATTTAACTTACTTCTATCGTTTTCCTTTCTCTTTTTTTCTATTAAACATGAGTTCGATCCTCCTGATTTTACTATGCCGTAAATTCCTTCGATTTGTGACAAAAAAGAAATGAAAATGGAAGAAAAGCAATGGAAGTTAACTCACTTTTCAATGGTCTAGAGTTAATAGTTGAATTTATATGAGAAGGTTTCACTGTAAAAGTATGCATTTGTTTAATTTGCTTTACTCTTTGATGTTCTGACAAAGAGCAAAGACATTAACACAATAACTTAGGCTGTGATTGTATACGAAGATCGAGCGATATGGTAAGAGAAATGTACACACTCTCACGATGTTAACTGATGATAGTTAGATAGATATTTACAAGTAAATGTTTTGTACTTAATTGCTGGATGGTGAGATTTTCATTGAAAAACATTTCCGCCCGAGATATTTTGTCATTGAATCAATAGACTATACATGACTTTATAGATCAGCATGTCAGCTGCTGTTTGATTTCAAGCTAAACGGAATGGAGGGCTAAGCAAATCTAGATTCACTCAAGTTGTGTCATTAGTAGAGCAAGGGTTGGTCATCCTACTATAAAAGCTATTCGTTAATCTTTAACACTAAAACTCCCGGCGTTTTTCATATCTCCATTTCTATCAAGAAGAATCATTTTGATTCCCTTTCTTTGTGAAATCGACACAGTCGCAGAAATGGAGATGAGAAGCTGAAATTTGGCGCGAAGACTGTGGTCTGTCTGCATGCACCCACAAAATAGATTAAAAATTCAGACAACCTCGAAAAAACAAGGCCGATACTATCAGATTTTTGTCTATAATTTTTTGCTCCCGCGAAGATAGTTTCGAAAATCTTTAATCCACATGCTAGTTATTAAGATGATCTTCATGTTTAGGCCAAAAATGGCTCCAGTTGGTTTTCTAACATCGTCAAAACTAACAATAAAACTTTAAATGGAAGTTATTTCCAATGAGAACCTTTTCTGGTTCGAACATGTAAATGGTTCTGGGGACAATTTGAGTGGCAGATCCCCCGAAACAGCTTCATCGAAAATTATCGAGAATTCTATATGAGCATATGAAAAAACTGCCGGTGTCTTTCCAGATCGCCTGAGTTCTTAATCTATAATGGGTCCATCTGAGTAGTCGAGCAGGCTAAAAATCACGACTAACAACTCAATGGTCGTAAGTCAGGTTTAGTAGAGCTTTCAATAATGCCGATAGCCTTAGATCCTAGTACTTTAAGACTTTAATCTTGGAATTTATTTTCCTGGATGAATTACTGACACTAATAATAGTAATTTACAATGGGCGCATAGGTCAACACGCCACAACAGTTTTTTAACCTTGAGCTTTTAATCGATCAAGGAATGTTTGTGTCAATTTTGGGATTTTTGTCGTCTTTTCGGCGCCTGGGGCAGTTTAATAAAATTAAATGGTCACAATAGTTCCTTTTGCTAAGAATAGGTGCAACTCATTGGCATCTTAACAACGAGACCGCGTGTAAAAAAAGTTCATTATAGATATTTGAACGTCCTTTCATATAAGTGAAATTAGTCAAAAAAGTTTTGAGCATTACATTGCGAAAATTAAGAAGGTCCAAAATGACCTACCCGGTTGTTGCAGGGTTAAGCAACATTTTGTATCCTTGCATTGATTTTAATGCAAATTATTTCACACCCGACGCAATTACTTATAAATTATTTTTAAAAATTACATGTTGATATCATACATACCGAACGCCCACTATTTCAAATAAAACACTTAAGGGAATGCTTAGTAAAAAAATTATCATTATTTCAAGAACAGACAAAGAAAAAAATGTTTTTTAATAATTAGTAACAAATAAAAAATTATAATTACACTTTGGGAATAATTTCAGTTCATTAATCTAAATGCTTTAAGTTCCTCTGTTCGCTATATCATCGATTGCTGTGTTATGGTTGATTATATATATGTATATATGTTTTTGATTAATTGCAAACTTTTTAGCAATTGTGACCTCATTGTTTTCGGCGAAAACGCATTACCAAATAAAAAGCAAATGCAAATATGATGGCCTAAAAAAGAAGAAAGAAGGTAAATAAAAAATAAAGTAACGCAATAACTTCAAATTATGTATATTAGTCCGTACCCACTAGGCAAGATAAGAGATATGAAATTAATTAAACAATACAGAAGAAATTTTACATCCACTGATAATCTTTAGTAGTTAGCTGTTTTTCATTGTCTAGCATATTTGAGTGTGAGAACTCCGAAGGCGGATAAAAATTCCTAGGGGTTTACTTTATTTACCATATTTCTCAAAAGAGACAGCTTTCAATACAAGAAAGAATTTCCCACAAGCCTATTAGATTAGCAAGAAAACTGAAGTTCCGAGAATTCTTGATAATAAAGATTTGGGAAAAAGTTTTGAGGCACCGTATGAATTCGGTGACATTCAAGAGGATAAACGTGACTTCACTAAGGCATCGCTCAACTCTTCTGCACTTCTATTTTTCTTTAATTGGAATGAATGATTATAGCATAATGGCATTAAGGCCTTGGCTCATCTACTCTGCATTTCTTTTTTTTTTTTCTAATATACCAATCGAGAGCAGGGAACGTGCATTTAGAGTTCCCAAATTTTGAATGTTCCTACGCCTAAGAGTAATTAGTGCTCAACTCCTATTAGATGATTCTACAACACCCAAATGGAGACATACAGAGAACATAATGAAACTCACCGAATTCTAAGAGGATCTTACGGCACATGCACGCACTGGACTCATTAGAACATAGAACACTAGAGGACCTTCAAAAATTATACTTTTTGATATAGTAAGAATTTTATGTTCGTGTGAACAATTTTCAAATTTCATAATTTTATAGTATGGATGGATTTTTTTGTTAACAATAGTAAGCCATGCATATTATTAAAGGGATAATCTAAGCTGTAAATATTAGAGAAGTAAAGGCTTTCATATGCTTAAAGATGATGAACAGAAGCCGAAGATTTTCAATATCTACAACGCAGCATCAATGATATATGTAGTAGTTCCTCTTGTCCAACATTTTTATTTTGCTCGAGCCACTCTTCTTTTAAATAAATCATTCATTTGACCATTGATATCAAGTGGATGAACTTTTCGATTTATTCAAAAACTAAGCTCTGTCTTCGCTAAGCGAAACATCTTTATGAAAGGAAAATCCATAAAGTTACGGATGAACTAGATATAGATGCAGACATATATATATACTTTTTTTTGGACTTAGTGGCAACGCACTGTCAACTTCTGGCCCTATATTGAGGTCAAACCCATTACGGAAACGCTTTCGCATAACCTCGAGATGATCCCTTTACATTATATTACTCTACCTCGCCCGTCGTCACCAGAAATCAGAAGTTTGGTTGCCGCCTTCTTGTGGCTTTACAACGAGACATGTCTTACAAAGACCGGCGGAGGTTTTCTATCTTTCGATGCCCATTAGAAGGACTGCTGGCAGGTTACCTTGCATCATTTCTATTCTCAGAGATCTACAAACCATGTTTCTCAAATAAAGAGAGTGTGCTGCGCATCGTCATTTACCCCTTGCCAAAGGTCGTGCGCGTTATCTGCTCGTAAGTTGAAACGGCGCAGACAGTTCGAGTAATTTCCAGAAGTGTGTGTATGCATGTATGTATACAAGTATATATAGTCGTGTATGTAAATATGTTGCTGCTAGGTTAGGGTAAGACCACCTCGCTTGTCCATTACCTTAAGATAGGCTCTTATTGATCGTTGATCCTCTCTATATCGTCCTACATGCCCCGCCCCCCAACGAGATTAGGAATTGAGATGTCGACTTCACCTGGTGATGGTATGCCTTTTAAGAGACTGGCTCACTCTTTCCAACGTTCGGCATACCTTACTATGACTACTACTATCATAGATTGCTCGATTTATGTATGTATGTATGTATATATGTATGTATAGGTATATGTACATTGCGTGTACATATATGTGTAACATATGTTTTCTTAAAATTCTCGAAAAAGTTTGAACAATAATTGCGTGACTCAATATTGACAGTGAAGTAAGAACTTTTTTTAATTTCCTGTTTCTTCTTCTCGCTCGGGTTGTAGGTTTTAAAAAATGCTTTTAGATGTAATCGAATAAAGATGCTTACCGTATATGCTAAATTTCCCCATGCACTGTTCGAGGAATAATTGAAAATTTCTAAGAATTTCTTCTGAGCAGCTGCAATGCATCCAATTTCGTAGGGTGATGTCGTCATTTTTCGATAACAACTGGCTGGATATGGGCGATTTATGTTAGCATAATCATTTGGACCAATTTTGCCGCAACATTTGTACTAAACAAATGAAATTGATTTCAATTAAAAAGCATTTTAAAAACAAAATTTATATCGTAAACGAATACCGTTTCTTGAGTTTTATCCATTGCTCCGGGATTTTGAATTTCATTCAACCAAGTTCTTTCAACATCGGCGGTGGCAAACTCTTTAATGGCGTCCGAATCAAAGGCATATGCTTTTCTAATTATTTGCGATACCAACGAGGCCAATATAATAACAGTGTACTATAATATCAATTAAAAGATTTTGATTTATTTGAAGAAGAGTAACGAAAGCAAACCTCATTATACGAACCGTTGCAGTCATCCAAAAATGTTCGCGACAAATACCACAACAACCTAGCATAGCCGCAAAGAAATTAACGCTGCCCAGAACATATAAATAAATCACATAAGCTGGTGGTGCCGTTTGCAAAGACACAGTAGCCAAGGCAATCATCAGAATACCCAAAACCTATTAATGACACATTTGTCTCAATAAATTTTGTTATTAATAATTTCATTTTATGGTAATTAAAAGCAATTATTTTAACTGCTATGAGTGAGCGACGTCGATAATTTATTATACAGACGACTTCTTACCAATTGTGAAAACAAGTCATGATTGATTCTCTTATGAAAAAAAGCGATTAATTTATTATAGACGGGCAAAAAATATTTGGTTCCAAGCACTGTTCATCACATTTTCCACTTCTTTTCGCCAAAATACGAACTGCGCACAGACAGAACAAGTCAACTTTTGCGATTGTCTGCAATCTGTCATGTTTTCACGTTTTACGTTTTAAAAGTGTGTGAATTGCTTAGACACGCAATAAGTCATCCGTGTGAAAAAACCATTAATTAGAGCGAAGAATGTCTGATGAATACTAGTGGGATTGTAGCACAGTCCAGTTCGTTCCCGTTAGCGTTTCTTGGACAAATTTTGCAATATCAGGCTGATTGCCGTCCCGCTAAAAATTCAACCTACATTGTGGCATGTTGCAGTTGTGTTCGTTTCGCGAACGACGCTCTGACCAACTGATATAAATTTTATATATATGCTATACTCAGCCAATCCCTTAAAATTTGGGTGCCGAGTGTATTTGACTTTATTGGCGCTGTTAACGTTTTTCCTGATCTGTACCACACTTTCAATCTGGCATCATTTCCAATTTTCATCATTTCTGTTATAATTCAGCAGTCGCTTGTTTCGAACTAAAGAGGGAAAGCCAAGCCTCTTGTATTTGTCATTTTTTGTACCCATCACCACAGGATGAGGGGTATATTTGTTTCGTCGAAACATTTGCAACACCCCGAAAGAAGCTTCAAACACTCCGCCCACAATTGATATTCCTGATCAACATGAAACTCTTAAGTGATTTAAACATGTCCGCCTTTCTGTTTGTGTAATGGCTGTCGTAAAGATTTTCCTTATTTCCACGCCTGCAGTAGCACGTTATCACCTTTTTTCAAAAGCAATAAAATTTGCTTTTTTGCTCATTACTCCTAAACTATAACAGATGAATATACAAAACTTTGAAAGTATGTTCTATGAGGAATTTCATAGTATATGTACACAAGAGGGAAAAATTGACTACGCCTATCCAATATTATAATGTATGCAAATATAAGGCACGAATGCAAACTTCAGAAACCCCATAAAGTATATAAATTCTTGGTTACGTCAGTTTCAACTTCGGAACACACCTAGACATGTCCGTCTGATCAGATGTCCATCTGGCCGATTAACCAACTGTGTAGTATCTAACGTCCGATAATGATTTGTTATATCGTTCGGGTATATTCTCCTAGGACATACGGTTCTGAGTTGTTCTATCGGTGGGTACGTTTGTTTTTCGTCTGTCGTTGCAATGTTCAGGATCACGAGAATTAAGAAAAAATCTTAAAACTCGGGGCGTATTACCACAGAGAAGGCCGCAGATTGAGATTGAAAAAGCGGGTAAGCCGTGCGCAATGTGCAAAACCATCTAAGAGCTCGTGCTGCCAGTTAAATACTTTTGTAATTTTTACGCTTACCATCGGAGTGTAATCTTTGCTTTTGTAACAAGTAAATCACACACAATGTGACACCTAATGTATGGTATTTGATATATGACATGTCGTATGTGCTACATGATGTATCGTACATAATATGTGACGTATAATGATGTAGGGCTCTAATATAACAGAGTATCTCTAGGTTATTGAATTTGTGTTATTTGCCAATTTTCATTTCAAATTTTATTTAAGTTGCCAATGACACTTGAACGCTTGAATCAAAAATTAAAAAAGGAATTGGTTTTGTTTGAAGTGAGTCAAGATACAAAAATTGCTTATTGAAATAATGAAAAATAAAGACACAATTATCGATTCTTAAAAATCTTATAAACCAAATAGAAAATCGTAAGCGCTTATAGGTATACTATATATGATATGATATATATGATATGATATATATGATCTAATGTATATGATATATCATATACGATATATGATATGATATATATGGTGTGACATACTTGCAAAGCTTAAATTCGTGCTTCTGTTTTTAACCCATATATAACAACATATATATATGCCGTCTGTCCGTCGATATCCTATCTCCCAGTAATCTCACGAGTTTAAAGCTTGGCCCAGAATAGGCCCTGCAATACGCAAATATTTATAAGTATCTAACAAATTTATCTGAATTTGTCTATTCGACTGTCCATCCAGTTGCCATCTGCTTTACAAATAATACGGGATTAAAACTTGGCACATAAAACCCCCTAATCGTATTCTCATATTATTCATAATTCCTGACTTACGGAAGCGAAACACATAAAACTCCCTACATGTATATAATTCAGAATCGAATTAGTTATACCTATCGGTTTGTAACCGCGTGTTCTAAGAACTGAGATGCTTTCGTTGCACAAAATTTGAGAAATGGGAAACTGAAAATGTGTATTTAGATTCTTCGTCTCTGTTGTGTTCTATATACAACAAAACCCTTACGGTTAGCTAGTACCCATTAAATATTCACAGTAGTGTTATCATATATATATATATTGCTGCTCATTGTTTTTAGTTATGCACGTGTTCATATTATAAATATGAGTTTTATTTTATACTTTTGAATATTTATGCGAGTAATGACGTCACTTAACGAAATCTATTAAATATTTAATTTAAATGAATATTTTTTTGCATAACTTTTTATCGAAAATTTTAATTGCTAAATACCTTGACGCGTAGGTGGAGATTTGGGTGTTTGTGTATTTGTGTTTTTTTTTGTTTTTTTGCAAAACTCAAACAAATCGATTACTTACTGCCAACACAGCGTTCATTGCATTCAGAACGCATTTCATAGCACCCGAAGGACAACCCATTTTGATTTTTTGATTTTCGTACTACTTTTTATTTATTTACTTTTTTTTTTTGTAATTAAAAAATAATTGAATTGGTTTGTATGTATTATAAAAATGAAATAGCACGGGTTCACTTTTAACAAGACTCTTTTTAGAAAGACAACAACAAAAACAATAATTTTATTAAAAATATTTAATATTTTAATTTTTTTTTTTTTTGTTTTTCAGTTAAACTATACACAAAAACTTGGAAATTATTGTAAAAAAAATATATATATAAAACATGTATACGTATGCATACATGAGTACGTTTTAGACACGATGTACTGTTTGAGGCGATCACTAAAGCGTCTCTAAATATTGCGAATGCAAAAATTTGTATAGAAACCGTACCATCGTTACATTACATTTAAGTACACATATGCCAATATGTAAATATACATACATACATATATACATGCATACATACATTTATATATATATATATAAATTTATCGATAAAAATAACAGAGATTTAAATTAAATACACTTAAAAGCCTATGTTAAGAAATTAACAGACAGATACTGTTACGGTCTTTGGAAGGTTTTACACAAATTAAATTCGAATATAAAAAATTTAGTAAAAGTTTTTCATTGGCTGCGAGCGGATAGTTTTCTGTTAATAAGTAATTTATTAAAAAATTCTTCTTCTTTCATATAAATAATATTTAGGGTTATAGGGCAGCTCCGACCTCTCTATGCCGGCTTCTATGATAATTCGATAAATTAACGTACACACGTAAACTACAATAAAGACCAAAATGTAAATTCCTTTAGAAAAGTATAATAATTGAATAGCGTAAAAAGAAAAGAATTGTTTTTATTATTCATTTATGATAATTTGATCATTCTTTTGAGAACGATTTTCTAGACTTTTTCCAAAATAATATGATGCCGTGATGCCAAGAGCCTGTAATAAATAAATATATTTATGCATAAGTGTAACAATCAAACAAATTATTCAACACGAAAATGTCAATAATATTTTAAAAGGAAATGTTTGAGTCCCAACACAACTAAGGCCAAAGCATTTTCAATATGAATGATGAAAATTGACCACTGAAACCATTTCGATACGAAAGTTTGCTGTAAACTCTTCATTTTCTTTGATAGCAAGTAAAAGTCGGAGAAAATGGATTTGTAAAGTACACTTCATCCACCCGTGTTGCGGTTTAAGCATTACCTAGTATCAATGTGAGCGTCGACTACTAATGTCTTGAAGAAAGCAGTTGGCTGTCAGTACGAAGCCAGACCGTTTTTTAGAAACCTTCTCATTTAAAAGATCCCCTTCGAAGCAATTGCCAGAGCCAGCCTTTTCTCTCTAATTAGGCCAGCCTCGAAAATTGTCTGTAGATTGGTAATAATACTTGAATTGTAGAAGAAGTGTTAACGGGTTTGTCTCGGGCTTTAGTATATCATTGGTACCTTTGGACTTAAGACAGATATTTGGATTGAACGAGTGTTTGGCACTTTAGATGCCTTAAACACCGACCTAACAATTGGCAGCGGCCTTGTAGAACTTGTGCGATTTTTCTAAAAAATCGTAGGTAACGTTGACAGAAATTGTGAATCTATAACAAAAGCTATAAAGATATCTTTCCTTCCCTTGCTTCTTCTCCCTTCCCCCATCGCCCCACTGGGTTAATATATTTTCGAATACGAAAAATTGCTCACCTCACGGATGAGAACAACTTTCAACTAAGATATGTACTTCTAGGCAAAGTCTTAAACTCAAGATCGCGTTTGCAACTAGCAGGCAGATGGACAAATAAGATTGAATCGATTCCGCTATTCCTGCCAATCGAAAATACACACACATATATATATATATTAGCATATTTTTATAAGCATACATGTTTGTATGCATATGCATGCTTATATATATATATATATATGAGAGGCACAAACATTCCGTGAATTTAACGTAGCTCTAGTCTGGGGTATTTTTCTCTTACCTCCAAAGCTACTCCTGCCACTAAGCACAAAATAAGATAATCACTATGATCATCGACAAATTTTACAGCGCTAGTGAGACAACCTTTAGTAAAAATATTATAATCATCGGAACAGTCTTGCAGTCTGCAACAACTTGGTGGCAAAACATCATCATCATCTTGTAAATAGTCTTGAGGACTATCCTTGCCGCAGCATTGATACTGTTATATACCAAAAAAACTTAATCTTTTTCAAATATTAAATTTCACAAAGAGAAAAAGTCAACTGACCTGCATTTGCACGCCAAACATTGAATCGGGCTTGATAAGCTCTTGTTCCCATACCTTCGTTACTCGCTCGCCGGTCATTTCAATAAAATCTTTCTTCATAGCAGCAAAAGCAATCATAAAAACTGTCTCACAAAAAATAGATAAACCTGCCACGCCCAAAAACTACAATCAAAAGTTTTCAGGGAAATGATAAGCCGAAGGATGTTTTATATTTTGTAATTAATGTTTACCGTTATCGACAGAATATGCGATTCACGCATAGCCGTGAAACAGCCCACACCAGCGACTCCAAAAACCAAAAAGCCAATTAAAGTAATAATATAAGCACCTGTTGCAGTCCCAGCGCCACCCAAAACCAGCACTCCAATTGATATAATTCCCACTGCATTCAGCTGAAAGCAAAAATGAAATGAAAGAGAAAAAGAAAAATGAAAAATAAGAAGTAAATATTTATTTTAAAGAGCTTTGGCTATATTTTATTTGCTTGCCTTAAAATTAAATAGAATTGATATAAATGTTAGTCTTATAGTTGAAATGTTATTTTTTTTTACTTATATACATATATGTAATATATCTAGATTGGTAGAGTTTTCAATAAAGCTGATTGCCTTAGATGCTATTGGTGTAAGTCTTTAGTGTTGGAATATATTTTTCTGGTTAAATTATGTGTATTTGTTATTATTACTCTTTTGTCTTACCTATAGATATACAACATGTATATAATAATAATCATAATAATAATATTGATTAGCGATAATGATAATAATGGTTAATACTAATAATAGTAATCATTTTATAGAGCCCAAAGCTTTCTCAAACTGTTGGCAAATTAGCATAAAACTTCCCCTTCGGCCGCTTAATTATCGTTCAGCTTTAAAAGGAGAATTGTGTAATGAATTATTTTTGCATAATTTTATGCCCTACACCACAAGAGCAGCACAAGAGTATATTAAATTTGTCCGAATGTATGCAACATACAGAGGGACATCAAATAGACCCAACTTGTATCATATTCATAATCAATTTTTATGTTAGTTCTGAATTTAATCAATCAATTTCTGAACCGACCTAAACTGGTCGGTCCGTCTGTTCGTCTTGTTTTCTTTCGGTTCATCCAAGGATATATGCTATTGGAAATGGTTCGAATCGTATTATTTTCTCCATCGCTTTCCATACAGCGCTTTATTTTGAAAAGTCATTATATGAGTAACTCTGGGATGGTAGATTACAGTGTTTCTAATTGTTCTCATTTCTGTTTTTTCTTTTTAAATTGTGATATAACCTAACCTAAAAACAAAACTACGTCGCGCGCATAGATAAGTCGTTATCGGTTTTTCTAAGAGACTTTTGGTATTTTTATATGCGAACATTTACCAAGAATGACTTAGTTGCGCGGTGTTCAAATTCGAATAGCGTGTACGCACACAAGCCTAACAGTGTATGAGTTGCTATATACAAAAAGCAGAAAACCATGATCCAGTGTAGCCGTACCCGCTAATAAGTGGCGCAAATTTTTAAGTGCCTCCATTTTATAGAATCATTTAATCAGTAAGGCGTTAAGAGTTAGTTCAACCCCAGGAATAAAACAGTTTTCGGTTTTCAAAAGAGAGACGGTTCCGATATGTGAACTTGAGCATCGGTTTACTAACCAAATATTCGATTTACCGATGAATATCAATCCGTCTGGGTAGTGCAGTCATTGTTGCGACAATAGCCAACGAATGACAGATTCAAAAGACAAGCTGTCCTCTTTGTGTGTAAAATATGTAGCCAGCTGTGAACAATACAAGTTAACAATACCTTCCGCCCTTCTCGTAAAATACGCGGTTTGTCTTCATAAAAAAAAATATCTGTCCATGATTTTAATGTTTACACAATGAAGAAAAAAATATTCTTTTTTTTTGTAACAACGGATGTTCCATATACTTCTGACAGGGTGACTATCAGAAAGAAGCAAGGAAAGAGACAGCGGGCTAGTCGCAGCCTACAGGCTTTGCGACCAATCGATAAGCGTTATGTCCTTACTGACGGCGTACTCACTATAGATACGACCAAAGTAGGCTTCGATGCACTTAGATTCGAATCTGCGAACAGTGAGCGAGCGAGCTTGTAGTCGCGAATCTGCTCGACTACGTAAATGGATAAATACTTTATTTTCGTTTTAAAATTCATACAAAAGTTATCTGTACAACCTCTCTCTCCCATCTTAAATCAACCAATCACTGGAGCTATTGCTTTGCGGGTTGGGTAGCAGGTGGTGATGTCCTGCTGGAGGCAAACGTTGCTCACCTATCGTAGCATTAGTTTGACGGAAGAGAAGGTCTGTCAACATTGTTCGATATCGCGTTCATCCACTGTAATGGCCGACCTGGGAACACTTTTCAAAGTAAATCCCAATTATAACGCTCGTTCAAAGATCACAGTCGCGGTAAAAGATATTTTTCAATTAGTTTTACATGCGATCCATAGGTTTTATCTATTTACGTGTCCACATAGAGCAGTCAATCAGTTAAGGCGTAGCGAACATCCCCGAAGAAATCTTCTAATTTTTCCCCTTTCTATGTTAAAAGGTAAAAAAATGGCGCGAAGTATAAAACAACTCACACACACGCACACCTTAGTTGTGATTAAAGGACCCTTTATTGGTTACGGATTTTTTTTTGCTCGTTAATATTTCACTTCTCAACGTCAGCGCGCACATGAATGGATAGAAAGTATTCCAATTTTATTAAAATGTTTTTATGTAGTGTTTATAATATGAATATCGTTGTTGTAGGCTGACGCTTAAAATGATTTTGCAATTTCAACACATTTGCGTTGTTCGCCATCAGAAACATTTGCAATAAGTTTTAATGAAAATATATATATATGTTTTTTTTTTTTGTAGAAATTTTTCGATTGAAGGTTAAAAAAATGCATGGAATACAATGTTCCACTTTCTCTCAATTTCATGTTATTAAAATCATGAGAACTTTTGTTTGTTGTTACTCTGTTGAGTTGTTTGTTTGATTTATAAAGAAGCAAGGATAGCTAGCCATACATTATTGGAAATTCCTTTCTATGTGCACTTTGGACTCTGTGAAGCGTGCTTATAAAATATATAAACGTAAAATGTATATGAGTGGTGTGTATAGATAGATGGATGTATCGACATAGAGAATTAAATCGCAATGCATGCATATGCAGGCGAACATTGGCACTTATTCGGTAAAGTATTTTCATAAAGATTTCAAGTATTCTCACAAGCACTTACCGAAATTAGTATACTCAGTACAAGTAATGCATATTTCCAGATGTCAGTGGAGAATGACATTTTCATTCTGAAGCCTTGAACTGCTTACAGGACACACAACGAAAACTGACGAACGCACATGCACATGTGTCAAGGGAAATGAAAATTAAAAAAAAAAAAACAACAAGAAGAAACAAACACAAACAAACAAAAGATTCATTAAATTATTCACAAGTTATTTCAACGTCATCTTAGAGCACAATAATTGGGTTCATATTTTATATCACTTTTTGAAAAACAATAATTCTTGTCTTGTAAACTGTTCAAAATATTTCAGCAATTATAAAAGCACACTCGCCCGTGTACCTACATAGAACGTATGCAGATAAATAAATAAATTTATAATAAAGAATGAAGAATGAAGAATAGCAAGCATTCTCTGGGTATGTCTCGCTAATGGTTTCTTCTTTATTCCTCTGCTTACAAATGCGTGCCCACAACCGAATGTCGATTCTAAATAAAGCTACAAGTGGGGATGGATATAAGCACATACGTACATACTAATGTACGTATATGCTATATCTACGCATGTACGCATATACACATATATATCTATCTATATACGTATACATGTGGTTTGATTTTGTTTGTTTACAACAAAACAATCACAAACACGAACACACGCACACCACTAACTAATTTATACGAAACGAAGAGCACAAAGCATTTTCCTTACACTGTTCACAAAAACTATCCGTAACGAACGCTTGCCAACCATTCACGCCTTTTGATACAAATACAACTGAGGTGAAAAACTAAAAGAAAATCTCATGAAAGTGCAAAAGATGTGCTTCTAAGGCTTGTTTGTCATCGCTCCCCTGTTACTGCTGTGCACTGTTGGGAAAATTTTAAATCTTATTCTTGTTTAAATCCACAGGGGCATATTTTTATAACGGATGGATGGTGTGCATGCCAAGCACCATAGCACATGTACGCAGATATATGTATATATGTATATACATATATACAAAAAAATATATATATAAGCATATACCATATAATGTATTTAATGTAAACTTTCATGTAAATGTATGGAAAACTTTTTATAAGCACTTGCCACACACCTAAAGTAACAAATACATACATAAGCATATATATCGCATTATTACATACAATCATTTTCATTAGCGCGAATTTTGTATATTTATCATCTATTAAAAAGGAATAGAAAAATTCACAGAATGGAATTGAAAATTTACACTTACAATAGTTGCTAATATCACTCAATAAGTTTCCGGTCTGATATATGGCAATATAGTTGTCAGACCCTGGTTGTAACACTATTTGCGTTTTAGTGAACATATTTTTTTGCCATCTTCCGACTGCTTTTGCCAGTGGCTATTCCCTCGACTGACTGGCGAGTGTCTGGAGTCTATCCATGAAACCATGTTTCATCCACTGCCAATTATCACATGAAAAAATCCTTTTTATTTTGTCTACATGACGCTGAAGAGTGTTCTGAGTGTCACAAGTGAGTAGACAGGGCCGCTCGAGCGGAGTTTTCTCATGCCATCTTTCAACGCAACGCTTACTGTGAACAGATCTCTTCTAATCAAGAAGCAGCGTTCAATCAATGCACGAAATTCAGATTTTTTCATTATTTAGAAAATTACGAATTCTACGATCGGCAACGAAAATTACGATTGATCAATAGTGGCGACGTATAAATGTCATCCTTTCAACTTATTGATTGATGTGGTATGTCTGCAAATTTTTGTTTCTATGCTACCAACTTTTCTGGCAACAATAGTTTAACAAATTCCTCAACAATTTTTTAAAGATTTGGTATCGCCTAGAAAAGTGATTTCGGTTTTTCTATTTTACGTGTTCTCTTCTCTTCTCTATTTTTGTGAAAGACACTTGCGGACTTGCTGCTTTGTGACGTTTGGTTATGTATAAAAGTTAGGGGAAAGAAGATCTAGCAAATGTAGCAGAGGTTTTAACAACTTTTCAATAAGAGTAAGTTGTAAGTAAGTTCAAATATGTGCGGCCTGTATGAATTCCGCCGAGCGAAACTGCCCGCAACAGCTGGTGAGTATGACTTGTCATATCCGTGAAATGACTCACCAGCACCAGACACGGACAATTTTTGACTTTCGCACCATTGTAAACTGCTTTTTAACATTCCATCGATTCTTCAAAATGTGTTGCTAGAAGTTCACCGCATTCTGTTGTATTCTCTTGATTTAGCTATGCCCGTCTTTTGATCTTAAATGGTAAAATCAAGAGAAGAATAGCCGCTACTATGCAACAGGTAGTAATATTTTTAATCATCCAAGCAAAGCCAGACACCTTTGCATAACTGAATAGCAAAACTTAACATAGTCAAAAGGGCAGACGATCGGCGGTTGTGACGGGAAAACGCACGCGCCACCGTGGAGCTAGCTAGTTCGGCAGTAATGGGGTTCACTTTTTGTTCAACAAACTCTCCACAGATCATTACACTCGAGGAATACAGAGAGAGGCGAACATTTGAAACTTTCTTACCGGATGGGCCGATGTTACGTCATGGGCTATTCTAAACTCTACCTGTGGCCTCCTTCGGCTCATAAACTTTGCAAGGGAGGTCAATATAAAATCAGATCGAAAAATGCAAACCTTCAACACTAGAACTACCAGCGTTTTGCGTATACTTACCTGTAAGTATATGTTATCGGTATCTCCAAAAGTAGATCTCCATCAAGTAGATCATGAGAGAATAACTAATTATGAGTATTTAAAGATCTTTTCTTATAAATAAAAATTTCCGGAAATTGGCAGGCCTTATAATCATTTTTGTTAAGCTCAAAAGTCCAAAAAAAGTCATATTAACCTACAAGGTAGTTCTAGTGTTAAATGAAATTGAACAAGCCTATCTCGGTAACTATTGTAGAAATGGGTTTGAATTGGACAGTCAGTTAAGATGCTGCCAACGCAGAAAAAGTGCTCGTTTGGATAAACTTACACGAATTCAATGCGAAAACTTATTACTTTTCGATCGAAATTATATCCTTTTTCAAATTATCGTTTTTGATGAATAATTTGTATCCCAACAATTCAACAAGTTCGAGTAGTGCTCGTTTATTTTCCTGGTACAAAATCAGTTTATATTTTTGAAATCAGAAAACTATTTTTTTAAACTTCTGACAAACACGCAATTGGATGTTAATCCTTGAACTGTAAGTTCATTAAATGAGATCAGTTCCTGCTGCATTTGAATATCATGGAGTTACCCACCCACTTTCCTTCGAAACCGACGTGCAAAACTTATAGTGTTTCCTTTTTTTGAAAACCGGCAGGGGATGATTCGACTTGAAGGAATTAAATAAAAGCAAAGTACACCTACTGAAGGTTATGTGTCTTCACTTGAAATCTTTGATTTAACAATATAACCCGTAGCCAAAATCTTGGCATTGTTATGCCTGACAATATCCTATAAAGATATAAAAGTTTCCCGAAGCCTTGCAGTTATCGAATCTTCGTTCAGGGAATCCTTCTCTAGCAATTTCTAAAATCTTGATTCAATGATTCTTTACTAAGCTCTATTGTCTTTGAGCCTTTGTTTTGTACTGCCCTGATCTTTTCCCATTTTATTATCTGCTGTCAAAATATTGTCGTGAGAAGCAAATTTTTGTGTTTGATACGAATGAATACACGGATCTTCCGAGTTAATCTATGTTTATATGACGAAAGAAGCTCCGGAATACGGAGAAACATTCTTTTTTCATCTTCTTTTTATTTTAAATGCCTCTCTCCGAACTTTTCAATTAGCTCTTAAGGATTTCCAAAAAACTGTATCTAAAATTCAATCCGTTGCATGTCTTATATCGTAGAGCAGAGCAGAACAAAGCAGTTGGCATATGAAACGCTTGTAATTATGTGAAAAACATGCAATTTTCTTTAATTTTAATTCAGTTAACGCCAGCCACGAAAGCAACAAACAAAATGTGTCTTGTTATTGATTAGAAAGATTTCAAAGAAAGATTTATTTTAAAATTCGTAATCAAATATATATATAACCTTGTTTCTGGGTTTATTTTTAGTAATTTATATCAGGCGAGGAATCCTTTACATTTCCAGTCTTTATTGTCGCAGAGCTATCGAAGCTGAAACGCTGAAAGCCTATGGATCGTTTTCAGCCTTATATCTACTCAACTGTGTTGAGATAGACTCAACTTTTATTAATCGATCGAAGCTTGTCAATTTATCCTTATGTTCAGCCTAGAGGTAGCAGTATTTACATATCTCGATGAAATTTTCTTTAAAATACAGTGGTTATGCTATCAACTTTTCGTCGAGCATGGAATCTATAAAAATTTTTCCAAATCATTAAGTGAGATTTCACCTGCTTGACAACGCCGGGACATTTTATTATTTAGTTCATGGAATCACTTTTACTGCACCTCAGACATAAGTTTTCGTTTAACAATGCGAAAGGTTTACAACAAGACTGACACAGATTGTTCTTCTAAGCAAAAACCTTGGACGGAGAGACAATAGATAATAGACAGGTAAACAAAGATATTTATATATATACTGGTGCTCACCCTCATCAGGAAAACATGTGCTCTCTTTTCTGACGATGGCTCCAGGCGTATAAAGATGTTATTGTCGGTTTCTATAAGGGTTGGCTGCTGTGCTTATGATCAATAATGATACTATTTTCGTTAAGACCGACATCGTAGCGTAGATGAATCTATTCAGGATTACGCGAAGTAGTGTTTTTAACTGTTCTGAGTTGTGCGTTAAAGAGAAAAAAAACCAAATGCGGGAATCGTTACGTTTTCTGCCCCATTCGTAGCAAAGTACTGCTCGGTTTGAGGGATTTTAACAAATTACTAATGCAATCGCGTTGATCTGAAAATTTTACAATGTGCAGAAATGAATTATAGGCCAATTCTTCACTAAAGAAAATTTAGCAGCGATCACGAGGAATGTGCTATCATTTCTTAGGTATTTAACATATATCGTTTCCCAATACCCCTAAGTTATTCCATCTTCTTCTTCTCATCCAAAAATGACAAAATTGAAGAGGATGTATATATACAGTGAAAATATTTGCAAATTCCGATATTTATTTTTCGCTACCAAGTGTTCTTTCGAATAAAGAAGAACAAAGAGTAGCGTCTACATGTTCTTTTTAGAAGAAAAAAGAGATATGGCGAGGACCGCAGACTAGCGTGTGTGTACCTAATTGGCAAGTGCTGTAGCTGTTTCTTCTCTCTTTCTTTTTTCATTGTGACAGGCGTCCATGTCAAACTTCACATAATTTTTAGCGTTTCAGCTGTACTTCGCTTTGTACGAACCGAAAAATATTTTTTCCGATTTTTACAATAAGTGATTTTGTTGAGCGAGGAGGCTGCAGAGGCTGCTTCATGATTATTACAAGGGATGAGACTCAGACCTACGCACACGACCTGGAACTAAGCAATCAAGCAAGATCACTCAAAAATGAAGGTGATACTACCAGTTTTCTTCGATTGTCGTCGCGTGTTGCACACTATACTTCCCTCCCGCTCGGTCAAATTGATAACAACGAATATTATTTGAGATTGAGGATTATTTTGAAGTCGATGAAATATATTTGAAATAATAAATAGATTTAAAATAAGAAAAAGTTAAATTGGTCTTACTTTTTGGACACACAGTATCGTTTTCTTAAAAAAGCACAGATGATTGTCTTTATTTTCAGTTTTTAAAAATATTTTTTTAAAAGCACGTAAGGCAGGTAACCTTATCAATGACAGCTTCTTTTGATTATCTTGTAAGCAATTGTTTACTATTTTAACTGAAACTTGCTTACAATAAGAGATAATTTCATCATAAATAACTTTTATCGTCTCATAAGAATCTTCACGAACGCTCATTTATTTTTCTCGAATACTTAGTGAAATTCAATAAAATTTGATTAGAGTGATCATTTTGTATATCGCCCCAGAATGCCAAAAAGAAATTATGAAATTTTCGATCTATAATAATTCTCACGAACAATATTCACGGAAATATTCAAGATTGTTGTTAATCGAGATCTTAATTTACTGGGTCCAAGATGGCCCACTAACGATTTTATGCACAAATAGCGAAAGGTTTTTAATTAAGAAAGAAACAACACTGATAATCTTATACAATATGCATTCTTTTAATCACGGAAAGTATCGTTGAGAAGTAAGGGAGTAAAGATGAATTCGAATTTAAGTAGAAAAGACACTTACTAACTCTATTACTCAGATTTCTGTAAACTGTCTAACAGAGCTGTGCAAACGGCCTAACAGAGCTCTATTAAGTAGTTACAAACAAAATTTAGTCGGATTTGGAGACTTATTACGTACATATGAAGAAATCTATCTATATAAAAATATCTATGGAAATAGTCAAATTTTAGGCTTTAGTAAAAATTCCACCCATATTCACCTATATCTCGCGATACTCGCTACCAAAACAATACATGCCCTATTGGCATTAACAGAAAAAAACGAACTTAGCTTCGTTTCGCGGGTTCCTGACATACAGTACATACTAAATTTCACAAATTTGGCAAAAATAGTCCCAAAATGCAGAATTTCAACTTGTGAAGTTTGTTTGAAAGGTGCACTCATGACATGTCTACAAAAGTACACTGCATTTCCTAATTCGGACAAAGTATGCCACCAAATCAAACCATGTCTTGATCGTAACTGCCTAAAAGGAGCCTGTTAAGAGAGTTGGTAAAAGTCTTTGATGTTTGATGTCTTGAATGTTTGAACTTTCGAACGTGCATTGGAAGAAAAATTGAAGAAGAAACTGTGAAAGCGAATATAGAATACTGCCGTCAAGGCTACTCATCTGCTAATCTTTACCTAGTTCCTCCAACCAATATTGACGAAATAAGATTCAAAACATTTCCGAGAACACCCCTTAGCCATGCAATTGTAATACGTCAGTGGATCGTTCAGAAATCTCTTCTTCTTATAATAAAGCCCTTTCTTTATGACAGCCTGGGCTGCCATTTCCTTTATTGGAAAAATAGCATTTGCAACGACCAAGCCTATGGACATCCTGAACCAGAAGCCAATATCAAAGGTAATTGGATGGCCTATTTCGCTAAGGCTTAGCTTTTTTCTTTTAGTCTAGGACTTCTTAAAGCTGAATCGTTCCACGAATTGTCAAGTTATAGCACTTACAGCAAGAAAATGCGTCGTCACAGCAATGAGCTGCTCATGCTGCAAACTAGCTAACTGTGACGACCTCCTCAAAAATTTGCATTTAAATAGCGTCGGCAAAATTTAATGATGACGAGTACATTTGTCATACACCGAGTGCGTGTAATATGAAATTAGATTGTAATGAAATAGTTTTACGAATTAATATACACACACCCTAAAATTTATTATTTTGGCAAATAGATATTCATAGTAATAAAATTCGTCATAGCACAAAATTTTTTACTTTTTTTATTGCACGCACATTCGTTGTACGCAGTTAACTGCTTAAAGGCTTTTTCATTTAACAAAAAGTTAGCAAAAATCTCCAGAACCTTCGTTGTCTGCACTTTTCAAATAATTCGAAATCGTCCTGTGGTTGATGTTTAGTGCCACCGCTATTTTATCGATTTTTTCAGTGATTGCCGGGTGCATCTTTGATAACGAAGTTTCCAGTACGGAATCGAGCAAACCACTCCTGGATTCTTCATTCCCTCACAACATTCATGCAACCTTTTTACTTTTTTTAGAGTAAATAAGCATCAGTTAACACATTGTTTCGGATTTTTCACTCATTCTCATATAAAAATAACTTTTTACACTAGCAAAACATTAGGAAACCATCTTCACAAAAAATGTAAGCTGATATGTCAACCTTTAAGCACATGTTCGTCTGAGAGAATGTTCCCGATATATAGGCGTCAGCTTGATCGCGTGGAGGAGAGATTTGGATATGATCTAATATTTATGTAGGAGCCATTCTCACGAGACGAAACTCTGCGGTGTCTAGTATAGCTAGTGCAAATCATTCAACCTCTATGCCTGTAGCTATTGCGATAGGATAGAGGAACTGTGCCACTTTGAAAATAATTAATTAATCGGCAATAATTACTCAGCCTGGATATGTGTATTCAAAGACTTAATGTTTTCACAGACGACTCAAAGCTAGGCTTTGGTTTCATAAAAACATTACTTAACAGAGGAATGAAATATTCATTCGTCGTTTCGTGAAAGTTACTCAAGTGGAATTTTTGTGTTTTCAATGCGAACCACCAAATTCGCATTCGAATACATAATCTTGAGACTAACTATCATAGGCGAGGAGATTTGAAACTTCATTGTCAAAGTGTTACGTGCAAGTCCGCGAACTTTTCAGAACAGAAAAAATTGCACTCATGCAACCGGCGAAAAGAAGACAATGTCTATGTGTATTTTTATATTTAGGAAATTCGCTGCACAACATCAAAGTGTCTCTAATGAATATTAGATGGGGGTTGAGGAACATTTCGCGAGAAGACTTGTATGCCTCGAGCATCAATATCAAGTACCGGCAACGTGAAGTTTTGGCAAGCGATAAAAGTCTGCATGCGTATCTGTGTCATTATTCTCTTCTTTTGTGTAAAACAAACTGATTGCGAAAGTAGCTTTTTATGACGCTTTACTCGCAAAGCGCAAAGATCTGCGACGAGTATCATTAAGATACCTCGAAAGAATGCCATAAAAAAATAAAAAATAAAAACCATACTATTATTGCTTGAACGTGATGTAATGGGATAGCGGCATATCCAAAAATATTCAAACAATCCCGTTATATTTCCAACATGCTTTGTATATTAATAAAACTGTTAAGCGGCACATCAAATTTATATTTAAATACAATATTTTCACTTAGTTATTTCTACCAACGTGGTCCACATAAACGTGAAAAAAGAATTCTTTTTTTTAAATGATCTACAACCATCTTGCATTCGTTCGGCGAAATTCATTTTTCAATTTACTGATCATTAGCCAACCGAGTATAGCCGATATTACCTACAATTTTTCATTTGTTAAAAAAAAAAAAAAAATTAATTTATAAACAAAATACATGAGTAGAAGGCACATCACTACTTACTTCAACAATTATCAATAGACAATTTACGATGCTAAATGCGAGCGTCTTATCCGATAAATACTCCTCGAATTTGGCCATACAACCGTCTGGGTAGAGATTCTCGATTTGGGAACAATCGTGCTTGTGACAGCACGTTTTTGGAATTTCGTGCTGAATGCGACGATAATCGTCTGTGTTATTGACACCGCAACAATGAAGCTATAATTTGCAATAGAGTTAAAAGGCGAGAGGGACATTTCGATCAATTTTACCCAATCTTCGTAATGCGCCAAAGCACCTGGAGTTTGTATTTCGGACGACCAAAGTTCCTCAAAGCCTTGACGTATACTACCAGAGAGACCGTCACGGGTACCATGAGATGCCATACTCGTCATTACGAGTTGCGTTAAGATCAACATCACCAATATAGGAACATACTAGAAGAAGTTTTAAGGCTGTTGACAACGACAGTTTATTGCTGACAATAATTAACTTACAATAATTAATTTGTGCTTAGATTCCCGTAAGGCTGCTATAAAACCGAATATGGCTGTGACTAGAATAACGATGCCGAGTGTCATAACTAATCCTCCAGCGGCGTTTTCACCATGATCTGTTTGGTTTGCAGATCCACTGACTAGGATAAAAATACTAAAGCTGATCAGGATTAGACTGAGAAACTAAAATTGAATGCATTTAAAAAACAATTAAAAATAAAACAAATAAAAACTGAATAAAAAATAATTCACTTAAGTAAATATCAACCCTTCTATATACGTTAAAGCTCAATACGAATAGTGTTTAGGTCACACGAAAACCTATGTAGATCGCAACGGTATTGTAAACATTTCAAACTGAAGTTTTCCCATTCATGCAAAGATATAATGAATCTTTATAAAGTGCTTAATATGTAAATATTTCCGACCTCTTCCAGACATTTTGCAACATTTGGCAAACATCAAAATCACATCTGTAAGGTTCAACGATTGAAAAATCAATGCCGAATACATATGCATCTTACACTTGTCCGTAGCATATATTCGTAAGTGTCTATGTGATATGTGATCAATTATTAAAACTTGTCAAAAAAATTCTACTGGCAAGAAGGTTTGGATTAAAATTTTGCAGTCATGAGGAGTTATCCTTCGCATAAAAATAATATGCGAAAGTATTTTATCACCAAAATGAGTGGTGATGGGTTTGGCTGAAGTGGTTTGGGCATTTAATCAGGTTATCGGCCTTGCCTGGCTACAATATTCTTACTTGTTTTTTTATGAAAACAGAGAGACAGACAGACAGAGTTAAGAACATTTAGACTTAAATTGATTCAAGAAGTAGTTCTAAATCAATTAATATGATAAAATACATGCACAAGCATACGTTAAGTTTCTACAGATGTATACAGTACTTAGAAGGACTTGAATTACATTTTATTATTTGTTTTATTTATTTATTTATTGACAATTACGTAACGTCGAAACGATTAAGGACTACTATAATAGATAACAATGTTTACCATATGTACAATAATAACGTACAATAATACAAAATGTTTTTAAACAATCTAGAAGAAAAGAAAATTAATGCCAAAGAACAATGAAATAAGACAAGAAAGGCAAAGATGATAATTAAGCTAATAGTCGAGAAAATAACCGATACCACAAACCCCACTTTCCTCCCAGTAATAACTAGCTAATCATTAGTCTCGACTAACTCCCTTGGCAAGGAATTATAAGCTCTCTCATAACTCTCGCCTCAAAGCCTTTGACCAACTCGAACAAACAACAAATGATTATTGAATCAAGTGATTTACTGCTTGTTCAGGTCCAAATTAATTTCAAGAACCTAAGAGAGAAGCCATCCACACCCGGTGCATTACATTTGATTTTATCAAATGCCGCTAGAAGTTCAAACTTGTTTATTAAGCTCGTTTGTCCGTCTATCCGTCTCATATTCCTGCGTGGAATCTAGAGATCGAAACTTTTGAGATATTTTGATGAAATTTAGTATACCAACATGTTCTATCCGAAAGACGAAGGTTATAGAATATGGTTCGGATCAGACCACGTTTCCAACCACTTACCGTCATCAAATCTTACTGAGTGTTACATATATGTACACAAAACTTAACTCACGCGCTGAAGAGAATAAAAAGACCTTTCTGTTAACGTTTTCTAAAATTAGACGGTCGTTGAGCTTGAATATATATTCACTTACTCCGGGACCCTTAAAACGCTGTTGGCATAGCACAATAACGACGACAAATTAATTTTATAATACAATGTAACTCATTGTCTTTGAAAACTGAGAACCAACAATGCTATTCATCTAGGAAGCGCTTCAAATCGATCATTTCAGGCAACAATGCGGCACACGAGTTTTTCATATTCCACAAACGAGGAATAATTAACGGACATAAGGACGAGGTATCATTGCAGTGCCTTTAAATATTCCATCGCCAATTTCCATTTTATAGGTGTGAGTGAGAAAAATTCATCCTAATGTTACTTTGTTTCTAAGCGAAGCGTAATGTGTAAATCTTGATTCTTTATGAAAATTTTCGTTTGAAGCGGCAATATTTTCTTCTTCAACAAACCGGTGGATCCAAAATACTGCTAAAATTTCTTTATTTCCTCTAAACAAAAGATTTTCCAAATGTGTTTTGTGTATTACGCCGTATTAACGGCACAAGTTTCACTTTTAAAATTGAAAACATTAAAAACATTATTAACATATTTGTGTTCTATGTCTCAACGACGGCAACATTGGGCGTTTTCTATACCAAAGCACTAACGCAGTCCAAGAGCTGTGTTCTCCGATAATGGGATTCTGGTTTTATATATAGTGATACGCCAGCTATTGTTCCCTTGCTATGAATATTCAAAGCGTTCAGTTAGTGGAAACTTTCTAACTTGATGCCTGTACGCATGTGTCGTGCGCCGTGTGCTGATGTCTTAGCATTAATATAGATTACAAACGTTCTTACGTAGCGGAAATGTCAAAGATAAAGTTGAGGACATATGTGTTCTAAGCGAAGAATTGCAGCTGATTAGAATAAAAGAAAACGAACACTTATTGCAACAACATCATATTTTGTTTTTTTTTTTAAAACCGGGCTAAAGGTGGTTGTCCGCACCAAGCGATTATATATATGTATTTTTTCCCTCGAAAAAATCCTTTTGTTATGTGAACTCACCATTAATACAAAATTCAAAAGCAGTAGAATATGTTTAATGGTAGTTGTGCCGAGACCCATTTCTTTTTTTTTTTTTTTTTTCTTTCAATATTCCTTAGACAATATGCAACAGCAATAACCAATAAAAATTATCGCTCTCCGTTCATCCAGTACAAGTCTAAAATGTTTCCTTTCATCGAACGTTTATTTGCTTACAAAAATACATAGCGCACATCAATTTACACTTATTATGCATTTCTCTCTTTCTTTTTATATCATTGTTTTTTTTATTTTTTGTTTTTTTAATGCTCTTAATGAGCTATAAATTTCATAAAAATAAATTAATTGCAAATGCTCGTCAATCAATATTTTGTATAGAGAATGTTGCTCAAAGAAAACAAAAAAGAAAAAGAAAAAATGAACCGAAAGAAAAACATTTAATGAAATTTTAAAGCATCATCCGCTTATTCTCGCACGCGACTATGAACTGAAATATCGAATAAATTTTTCGTTTGTGTAAAATTTTATTCATTATATTTTCAGAAACAGTCCTATATTTGCATACGTACTCTCCCAAGCACATATGCAGTGACACGAAAAACACAAAACGTAACTGGGTGTACATGTGTTCGGTATATTTTCGATCTAAGCAAAGATGCTAAATGTCATTCATTTTATTACACCACCTCCATCGATTTCATTGACTTGTTTATTTGTTTTGTTTTTTATACAGTTGTTTTGACCATATCCAGATATCTAAAGATCTAATGACGCAAAACACATAAAAGCCGCTTAACCCTGAATATTTATTCATATTTAATATGTGTGAATATTTACAAAATGTAATGAAAAAAAATTCATTTTTTGATTGATTTACTAATGCCTCTTTCCCTTCAAGTTCTTAACTTACGCAGCGGTGCAGTACATCAAGATCAACCAGATTTTTTGTTTTGCCACGGAGAGGTATTTTTAATTTTTTTTTTCAACAATATTTCCTTCAAAACATCACAGCCATTAGTTTCTGCGTTGTTGTCATCAAGACAGTTAAGGGTACAATCCAAGCCACTATACGGTTCAAAGGTCCAATCAGTCAGAGCAAGTCCTTATTCGTGTAATGCTGGGACGGTCGGAAGGAAGTGAGAGAAGAGAAAGACACATGGAAGAGCCGAAGCCTAGTCGACGTGTGCCGAACGGCCAAGAGTTACGTTTTTATCCACTAAGCACTCACTACTACCGCGTTGAGATTTAACAAACACGGACTTGGTAGTTGCGATTCTTACCTATCCGGCTACTCATGTGGACTTAACTGTACTTGCGCTTGGATGTGTTTGGTTAACATTCTTCCGCTTACAAAAATCAAGATATCGATTTCAAGTTTAGCATAAACATTGAAGCTCTTGTAGGCGGTTCAATATAGAAAATTTCCTTAATTAGTCAATAGATATGCTGACAGCACAGCATAAACATAGAATATCTGTTTTCAAAAGCGGAAAGAAATGGTGCTTTTGCTCATTACTCATGGACTACTGCAGGTACAATCAAACATATGTTCGGATACATTCTGTTATTAGAGTAGAAAACAAACTTTCACGCGCACTTAAATGTTAAACCAGGCGCGGAAAACTGCCGGCCCGCTAAACTCAAAACTTTTACATAATTCTATTTGCTCGCGCATGGCAATGCCACAAATTGGTTGCATTTGTGTTTTGTTCTATCCTAATAATGAAAAAATTTGCTGCAGAATTTGATTTTTACCTTTTGATGAACAAAGCTACCCACTCCCGTATTACAGAGGAGAGAAATTTCATTGTTTAGGTTTTTTTTTTGTTTATTTTTTAGCAAAATGAGGCGCATACCAAAAATTCGCCCACAGTTGAATAATATTTTCTCATTTGTTTTCATTTCTGGTTTATTTACAAATAAAAAAAAAATACTTTATGCGTTGAGTTCAACAGGTACGCTTTTGGTTCATATCGACCCTAAAAACATCCTGCGGGACTAACAAGCAGTTAACATTCACGATTTCTAACTCGGTATACGTGGATTCGAATCCCAGACGGTACCTAATCGAGTAGAACGTACTGTAACGCAGCTACATAAATATACGCACACGTTACTTAGACTTATGTTCCCTTTTTAATGTTTTAAATCTAAAAATATTTACTTCGAACTATGCTGTTGTTGCTGATTTTTTACGTTATTTATTAGTCATTGTTTAAGCCCTTATTGTTAAAGGTATTGCTTAATTCGGTCGAATGCAAAGTGTAGCCAACAAAGAAAGGATAAATAAAAATCTATTGAAACTTCAACTCTTAGCTTTACTGTGCTTCGATGATCTCTTTTATAATTGCGTAATTTAAGCCTTTAGCTTAGCAAAAATTAAGAAAGTGTAATAAAAGCCGTCTCCGCTCTGAACTGACGGGACATGGAAAATACATCGGCGCAAACTCAATACACCCCGGCATTTGAGGTACAAAAACAGTTTTTATGTGGGCTAGCAATTCAGCGTCTAATTTGTTGCTAATAGAACCCATTTGAAAAACGGAGAACCAAAAATTATATAAACCACGGCCAAGTATTGGCCAAATATGATTCTTTTTATTTCTCAAGTTGCGTACTGTATGAAGGGAACTATAAGACAGTTGACAGATTGTAAGGAAGTCTCACTATCAGTCGCTTTTCGAATGATGTATATAAAGGACGATCCTCGAATTTTTACACAATTAGCCCTGAAATCAGTGTTTAGAAATAAATCGTTCTATAGAAAAAAATTCAGAAAAATACATAAAAACCAAAAGTTGCAATTTAATTAACGTATTGAGTTCTAATTAACACGTGTACCGTATTCAGTGCACGCTAAAGTGCATCTATACGTAGGTATTAGATTCAAAATTTAATTAATTGTTGTTATCGCTATTTTAAGGTTATTAATGATTTTTGCAATGCTCTTTTATACGTGTACTGATAACGGTACGTGACAACGAAGAACCCTTGTTTCCTCTTACACAGCAACGGAAAATGTATCTTTTCTCTTAAAAACACTTTATTTAATATTAATAAATTTGTTATAATGTACCGACAACAGTACATGCATCAACGCAACGCCACCTACACATGAAAGCTTGGCAGGGACGTATTAGAGTGGCACTAATGTTAAGTTTTCATTGCAGAGAGGCATGGAGCGATCGCTACAAACTTCTTTTCTTGTCATTGTCTTCCAATACTTAAAAATTAAAATACATCCGCTTGGAAGAAAAGTATATATAATCGTGGTATGTGTGTTTGTGTTATATTTATTGCTTACTTTCATCAACAATCCCTAGTTTAATTACAATTAACTGTACCAATGTTGGCGATCTCTACGATTCCGTATATTATCCACTAACATGCAAACAAATATCGCATCGAAAAGCTGCAAATAGTAAACAAAAAAAAATCATAATAATTCAACACAAAAGAAAAACTTGACGTTCAGATCTCTCTCTTTTTCCAAATTTACCTCAAAAGCAATTATCAGCCAACTGATTATATTAAAATGATTAGTTTTCGTTTTAATATAGTTACGATATTTATCTTCACAACCTTCCACGTACACATGAAGTATGTTGGTGCAGTCGTGATATTTACAACAACTGGAAGGCGGCACTTTATCTAACAAAAAATAGTCCTCGGCGCTATTTTTACCACAACATTGAAACTATGCGAATAAAAGATGAAAAAAAAGAAAATTTATTTAGTCTCTTTACTCTTAGCCGGAAAATGATATCTTACCCACTGTTCATATTTCGAAAGAGTACTATTTACAGTTTGATCGCTTCCTTCCCATAATTCGTCGAAGTCTTTCTTAAGATCTTGCGCTAAGCCCATATTAACCGCCCAATAACTAATGCTAACCATTATTAATTGAACTATTAAGAGTAGTATTAAAAGAATGGCGAACTGTGATATATGCATGCACATACAACAAATTTATTAGAATTACCACTCCTGACATTATTGCGAAGGATATAAACTTACAGAGATCAAGTAACTTTTACTCTCCAATATTGTTACTACGCTACCATAAATGACAACAGTGATGATTACGGCCCCCAAGGTAACGATAAGGCCAGCCGCCAAATTTTCGCCCTCAATAATGTCGCCATTGTTCAGGCTACGTATTAAGCGCAATGCTAACCATATGATTATAGACCCCAAAAACTGAAAGCAAGAAAAAAAACCGAACCATTGGTATTGTCATAAAAGTTGTGCCACTTGCCTTGCTTCCAAAAATTTGGAAATATTGGTAATTTTCATATATTTCCATATGACAACACTTACAGAAGGGCTTTTCTGGTCGGAGATTGCCTCTTTTCGATCAGTAGTCAGCAATGCCCCGAAGATTTTCACATGAAAATTGGTACCCACTTCTAATTATAACGAAAGTCGAGGTCTTGGTTTGGGGTCAGCCATTTATTTCCTTCACACGTGGGTATTTAAAATTGGAGAAAGAAGTGAACATTTCAAGAAAAAAACAACTATATTTTCGCCAGAGCAAACCCTTTAGTAGCTTTTCCCCAAGCAAGAAAGTTGGGTTCGCTTTAGGACTAGTTTTTGATATTTTCTGCTTGAGACCAGTGCACGTTTTAATTGGGGAACAATTTTTACGTTACTCGTGCAATTATCGCTAGTAAAAATTTTTACCAGTGTTGTACAAGTGTGTACTGGTAAGTAGCTCTTTTTTTGCTAATGGGAAGTGTTTGAGGGCTAACTACACATTCATTAACCTCGCAGTTATTTCAGAATGTCGGCTGTGTATTTTGATTTTTGTCTTTTTATTTCGGGAGGATTTCGTCTATTTTCGGAATCATATTTTGGTAGTCAACTAAAAGAGTATATGTCAAGTTATAGCTCGTTTTCGTGGTCGCCAACGTTCCAACAACGTACGTAAGCCTCTTATTGGCAAAAAATCTTCCACCGATGATATATTATACATTCAATCCTTCTTTGATGAACACAAACATACATAAAGAAAGGGTCGCGCCCATTGGCCAAATTTCAATCTGATCTTTAAGATGGCCCTAAGAAATATTGGGTAAGAAAAAACTTCAAGACTTTTTCCGGCGAGAGCTTTATCGTCGGGTAATTAACCCTATCAAGCTCTACTAAGGTGCTTGTGATAGCTGGTATGTGACGTTTGCTAATTAATTCGAAAACATTACGAAAAATTCGCTTTGTTTTACAAAAACGTCTTCCGTACTTTCTTGTGAAAACATTCGTCACGAGGATACTCGTTTCCATATCTTTATTTGATGTCTCCGACTTGATAAAATAATTGACTTTAATCTTATCCCTACGCTGTCCACGATTAACGGTCAAAAAGACTTCAGGAAATGACAAGCGGAACGATGAACTTTACATGCCCGGCAAGAGGATGGTTGGCGTTGCAAAATGTATACAAATAATATATTTTTACAAATGACGCACTTCAGATCAAGTGAGTTTAATAATTTTTCAAAACAGCGGACACACTTACAAATGTTTGGCGTAATCTTTTTTATTTTTTCTCTTAATGCCTTTTGATCTCGTTTCATTCATACGTTGAAGAAGATGACAGCTCTCTTAGTCATATTTTTCCCCTTTTTTTTTCAATTCGATTATAATACGATTATATGAACTAAATGCTTACCACTAAAATTATGTTAATAATTAAGACAACGATTTTATAAACGGTAGCGGTGAAATGCATTCTTCGCTTTATTTTAAGAGTTAGAGACAAAAAAAATAAAATAAAATATATTTTTTTTCGTTTGGAAAACTTTAAGGCTTAAATTTTTCTTTTTCTAATTACAGAAACTAAACAATACGCTGTGCATTTCGAACTAAAATTCGGTTGACATATTTGATTTAAAAAACATAACAGACAATGATAAATAGGAAATTTATTTAGTATTTCGTGCTGTGATTCGATTCGAGGGAACATTTCATTATTTTGTACATTTGGCATAGAAAGTACAGAAAAAGCTCTTCTATTGCGGTTATCAAATCAGATGTTCATGTATGAGTGCCTTAGTATACTGATTGACAGCTTGAACTTAAGTTCACTTTGATTGGTTATAGCTGGTCTTGCTTCCATTAGAACTTTTCTTCAAAACCTTAAATCTCTGGGAGATTCAACAGAGTTGTCAGGTAACGTTCGTTAAGCCTTGTTCCTCGATCTTTCAGTTTTGAACTTTGATTTTACAAAAGAATTGTAACTTTTGAAAAACAAAAGAGGACTGTATCCGCACGAACAGTCGAGTACGCGAAGGAACACGACTAACAACTCAATGGTCGCGGGTTCATGTCTCAAGCGCGGCAGATTTTTCAAAAAATCCCTCAGCTTTAGATGCCAGTGTTTTACGACTTTAACCGTAGTATTTATTTCGCTGCCTCAATTTATAGTAATAATAACAATAAATGGATAACGGTTGGCTTTAAAGTTCCAACACTAGAGCATACGTTTTGCACCACAGTGAGAAGAAAAATAAGTGAATAAGCAGTCACACTTGAGCACACGCTAATTAGAATCTCATTTCAAACCTTGCACATGAAAACAAATTAAGGATGAGTTAGGAGTTGTAAGCACACAGTAACTTTTGTTATGCAATATGGAGTATGCTTCAGAAATAGATTAAGAAGGAAACACATAAGAGTCTAAATCCATCGAAGACTTAATGCCTTTTATTCAAGTCTACTTTGGGATGTAATTGGAAGGGATCGTGTGGAAGGTCGTCAAGATAAGAATTTAAGTGATCGTGAAAAGAGGAGAGTGACTGATCCTTTGCAAAACTGTAGTAAGGTAACGCTTCGGGCTGAATCGATCTTGGCAGTTAAAGGGCAAAGCAGTTTTAGCGGAAATAGTCGAACAGGTGAGCTTCATAATTATTACAACAAAAAGAAGTGAAAACGATTTCGACGGATTCGCTTACATATGTACAAAATTTTTTAGAAGAGACTTTTAAAGTTTTCTTTTTTGTTATTTAGTAGAAAAATTGATTCAGAAAAATCCTTATTACTATTTTTCTTTAAGAAATTGATTTAATAGAAGCTAAAGGGACTGATTATACTTAAAAAAAATACTTAAGCGTTCACAAGCGTTTTTGTAAATCGTTTTGGATATTACGCACTATGAGAAAAGCGTTTCGGTTGGTGCTGAAGCCAAAATGTCAGGTAATAAACCAGATTTATAGCCATTTGCTGTTCGAAGCTAGAAGATATTGGAATAGGCTGCAAATTCTTAAAATCAGGCAAAAGACATTACACCGTGAAGAAACGTGCTTTTCATTATAATTTTATTTCGAGATAAACTAAAGTACTACTCGGATTTAGGTAAAAAAAGATTGCGTAGTTTTCGATAGTTGCGGTGGAGTCTTCTATACAAGCGAACATATTATCTAGGTTATCCATACTTTGTCAATTTGTAGACCAAAAAGTAAATCAACAGATAGAGAATTTAGCTGCTAAGTTCTCACGCTTTATCGTAGAGAGAACCTGTAAGTCGCAAAGTAGCATATATGAGCAATTCGCTTTTTAATTAACAACAACCATTTACAACACTTCTTTGCAAACACTCAATTCTTCTTCAATTTTTCTATTCGAAAACCACGTTTTAACTTTTGGCTTGACTAAATACTTTTCTTTCGGTGGAAATATGAGTCCTTTCATTCCTTGGATTGCACGGCAATAGCCAGGTGGGTAAAGATCATAACTAGCTAGTCAAGATTCAAATATGAATGCGGGTAACCCATACTTGATCGTAGCAATACTGAGCTATCAGCCCATAAAAGCCTAACACATGAAAGTTGAGCTTGCACCTACTAAGGCTGCGGGCACCCCTATCCCTTTCTATCTGTTTCCACTTCTTTCTGATACGTATCACATAAGCGATAATGAAATACTTCTTTATTGTGCACATGTTCTTGATCTTTCTCAGTTTCTCTGCCCATTCTTTCAATTGACT